ATTATTAATTATGCAATGAAATGAATGTCTGCCTGCTTCCTGAATATTGTGTGTCCTCCAAAATAATTACTATTGCAAGTCTCGTTTTCCAAGATGTAAAAGCAAATTAATTTGTTATTGAAATCAAACTGACTTCTTAAGTACTAAATAGACATTGATGATAAAACCTCAGCCTTGTCTCATTAAAGGCAATTTCAACCTCTGATTTACTCGTACCTCACTCCTCTGCTCAGCTAACACAGGCCGGCTGTGGATGTGCTGATCCATCTGCGCCTCCGTCGGTGGCCGAGACCTCAGTCATTACATACAATCAGTTATTTTTTATTATTATTATGCCCCCAACCTCTGGAACTCTCTCTGTCTATCCTGTGCCTCACCCCTTTCTAACTATTTTTAAATCCCACCTTGAAACCCACCTATTTGGCTGTGCCTTCCTCCTTGAGCCCAGCCACCGCGAACCTATCTGAGATGTTATAAAAGCAACTTCTTGTTGTTGTTTGAATGACTATAACGGATAGTTTCTAAAATAGAAAGTGTTTGAATGAACAATGATGCTACCTGGAAAGCTTACTTGAAGTTATGTTTTTGTGTAACCCTACCTCATTTTGTGATGCAGTTGTTAAAAACAGCACCATAAGTGTATGCAATGGCTTAGTGTGTAAATCCTGTGTGTGTGTCAATATTGTGGCACACGGATCAGGAAGAATCCCAACTTTGGTCCTCACTCTATGCTAGAATGGCATTGTATGCCTTTGCTCTGCAGAATTCTCTCCCAAATCTCCTCCACTATGCACCTGAAATTCCATTTCTCTGATCGTGTTCTTTGGTCACCTTCCTCCAAACTCCCCCCTTTCTCCCTAGCTTGGTGATCCTCACTGTCCCTGTAAAGCATCTTGAGATGTTTCGCTGTGTGAAAGATGCTATATCAGTGCAAAATGTACAGTCATACAGAGTACAGAGTGGTTACTGCCATGCAGTGAGTTGATAATAACTGTTACCTACCCTTGGAATAGACATCATGTACTCCTTGGCATAGGTGAAACCACACTAAATGTTAACTGTGCTATTGGTTCTCCTCCCATCCCTATTGTTTTCCACTCTTCTTGATTCCAATTTCCAGCCGAATTGCAATCCTTGACTGTCCAGCATCTTGGGACGTCATCCAGACTTGAAAGGTTTTCTATATAATTGCAATTTGTTATTGTTGTGGGGCAGCTTCTGTTATGCTAAGGGCATGGGTAGCCACCACTGCCATTCAGATTTGAGCAGTATGATTCTAACCAAAGTAAAATGAGAATGTCAGTAATCCTATAATTGTCAAAAAAGTAGTTTACAGTTAGATATCCTGAAAATGAAAACTATATTTGATATATACATAAAACTGGAAGGTGATTTTTGGGGGCATGTATGTGCAAAATGACCTGAAATGGCATAAGATTTTAATACCTCTGTCAATATTTTAGTATAAAGCCTGTCACGGATGTTGTAGTTCTCTTTCTTCTGAATGCTAATCGTCTTTGGTATGCGCGTGCATTGGAAGATGAGCTCGATTTTATTCAGTTAGATTTAAGGTTACATTGTCTCAGAATAAAGTGAAACCTTGCAGTAAATTAGATTGACAGAAATTTAATTACTTCAAACATTGGAATGATGGATGTGACTCCTAATTTCCCCAGACTTTAAGATCTCAGAAGTCACTGTACAACTACAGGAATAATATAGTAAATGAAAAATTTGACACAGTACTCAGTTATAATTATCTATCAATAAATAATACTTGTATTTCATATACCACCCTTCACTTTGGGAAGCCATTTCAAAGCGCTTTGTAGGATTCACTATAATGTGTAGTGACGATAATTTTGAAGGCGAACACGACAGCCAATTTGGTTTAATCCAGCTCAGACTGGTGAAATGAAAGGTGCCTCTCTCAAATTGGATACTTAAAAGGGAGCTAGATGGGGACTTTGGAAATAAGGGTATTAAGGGTTTATGGAGAAAAGATGGACAATTGGATTATAAGATCTACCTGATCCAACAAAAGGTAAAACAGGCACAATCATTATTATTGTAAATTGCCATGAAAAGTATGCTGTAAGATGAACATTAATAACTCTGCATTCTACTGAAGTGCTATTTTTATTTTAAAACATTTTTCCAAAGGAGAATATAAAGTCACACAGTGTAACTGTATGCAGTAAACATTTGATCACCTTTGCATCAATGGCTCCCTATGAACATGGGAGGGAGGTGGTGTAATAATCTCCCAGTAAAGGTTCACTTCAAAGATCAATTAAAACTGGGGTTCCCATTCCCGCCTTATGCATACAGAATTTGTAGAGCAATATAGACCATAGTGTGTATCTAGAAGTTCTTTTAGCTCAAAAGGATTCTGACAACCAGGTTTAATCATTATGTGAAGTAATTTATTTTAGCTACTCTGCCCTTTTCCTTTTTTGTAACGTGTTCTATTATTTTTATTCCTGTGCTCACATCATTCTGGATCCGGTCCTGAGACGTCACTGAGGTCTTTTCCCCTGTTAACAGTCGTATTATTTGTAGAACTGATGAACATCTTAAACATGATGAGCATTGGAAACATAATCTGGGACATTTGCAGTCTGTCAACTCCTTTAAAATAATCTTATCATATTTCCTGTGAAACAATGCACTCAAAGACACAAGGGCAAAGTGAAGCCTCATTTGGGCAGTGTGTCAGTGTACTTCAAGACGCTAAGGGCTGTGTTAAATTGCACTACTTTTTAAGCTTTCCATGTCAGCTAGAATGACAAGTCAGATCAAAAACCGAAGTTCAATATGGATATAATATAATATATGCATGGATATAATTTTTACAAATGTTTTATAAATTAACCGTATTATTGGTGTACTGTAATTCCAGATTTGTCAGCCATGTAGGTTGATCCCAACACATGTACAAGTTCATTAAAGGGAGGAGGGGGATCTGTGCTACTAAAATTCAGATTTCAATTCCCAGGCATATGAGATTGTTGGACAGTCTGTCCAACAGCCACCAATGCACCCATTCCCCTAGCACAAACATGTTTGTTCTATAATATTCAAAAATATTGTGGTGCAGTCAAGTCTACTCCAGAATAAATTGGGCATAGATGTATAACACAAACATCAGAGATAGGAATCAGAATTACCAACAAGAAGTGAATAACTTCTGATACTCATTTTTCTATTTCAAATTAACTTTTCTGATGAACGAAACTTGACAAGTGATTGGTGCTGAATTTTCAGTACCACAAATCTGTATCATCGCTGAATCATGTAACAGTTTCTATTGACTATATTTTGTGGGCATATATTTTGAAACCGCATTTCGCCCACAACATACAGTCAATTCACTTTTACAATATGTTCTCTGAATTGCTTTGAGATGTCTCAACAACATGATAAGGTGCTATATCAAATGTGAGGATTATTATCATTATTTATTTTGTGAGTGTCAAAAATGTTTTTGAAGTCAGAACTCCAAATTCTGCAAGTGTATGAATTATCCTTGCATTAATTTCGATGTTCAAGGGTCATTATTCACTAAATGTTAGAACATGTGAGTGTGTCCAACATTGTTCTTAATTTTTCTTGATATCGAACAACGCTTTCAATACTGACTATGTTGTCAGTATGTGGCCAGCTATAAGTCGGTGTTTTCAGCCTAAGATTGTCAGTATAGATAACAGCATTTCTTAGTGACAAATCTGAAAAGCTTTAATCTGAACAAAATAAAAGACTCGGTTTCACTTACCTTTTGTGCAGTCTCAAACGAAAACAATTTCAATTGCACTGTGTGAGATTCTGAGTAAGCTATTTAATGAGGGACCTGTCTGATAGAAATATTATGCAAATATAGATTCAATAGAAAATCAGCTTGCAAATGAGCGCTGGATTTTGACTGTGATTCTGTCAGTTAATGTTAGGAGATGCATTTTAACGAGATAAAGGAAAAAATGTAAAGGAACACATGTATGAGCTGTATTTAATTGTAGCAAGAACCAAAGAGTGACCTATTTAATTTGAGTGTAAATGTCCTCATCTGATTAGTAGCTAGCACAAATCAAGGTAAGCAGGGATAACGGTTGACTCAACACATGTACAACCCATACAGGAATCTATAAAAATGGTCTTCAAGGCACTGGGTAAGTTACAAACCACAAAGCGTGTCTTAAAGTGGGGCAGAACAATCACAGTTAGAAAATCCATAGGCTCATAGAATCAGCTAAGCTCCGAGTGTGGCTCGGATATTTGCGTTGAACCTAAAGACTAATGACAGTTGTAAAATATATTTGAGGAAATTTAATGTGGTAACTGTGCAATGATGATGTTACATTAAAAGCCAAATAGGGGCAGGATCCTCTTGACTTGCCTTGGATGTTTCCCCGTAGTGTGGGCATTTGTTTTTTGTATTCTTAAAGCACACTGCTCAATTTAAATGGTGTCAAAATAAGGAATGATTGTTTTTAATTGTTTTTGTAACATGTAAGTGTTCCTTGCCCGGTTCCAGTCCTCCGATTATTTAATGAGTTGAATGCTGTCAACTGTATAATTAAAAAATGGATGAATACAGAATGTGGTAATTCATTCAGCAGTACCTATCTGACACAGGCTTCCTGTGATGTACATGAAAAAGTGCCAAGCTTCTTCACCTGTCTTGCAGAGCAGCCAAAGTAGTGAAGGAATTAAATCATCATTTGGGGGATGCTTCGTGGCATTTTCAAATAGAAACACTAGTGAGCTGTGAAGAGGAGGCTTGGACTCGACTGTATGCAGAGATTGCCATTTTAAATCTGTAAGCAGTAGGCAAGAGGTTTAGGTTTCATGTTCACTAACGTATCTAGTTATGATTCTATGTTAGCACAGAAAAGCATTGCTACAATTGCTTCTCATCACAAAGTCATTTACCAGTTCTGAGGGTTTGTTTCATTCCTTCAGTCCACAAGGATTTTTCTAATGTGCAACACTGAATCTTTCAGGTGCTGAAAATTAACCTGTTGGGTCACAGAAAGCGAATCTTAGCATCACTGGGAGACAGACTCCACGACGAGCCACCTCAGAAGCCCCCTCGAACCATCACTCTGAGGGTAAGTTGTGTTCCTGCAGTGTTCAATTAGCCCTGCTATCTGCATGAATCCAGCATGTTCAGATATTAATTAATGTATCTCAAACCAATCATCAGTGCTACCATATATCATTATTGTCTCCTTGCCTCAGTAATCTTTCACGTTCCATGACTGCAACCAGGATTCTTTGTTTTGTGTGTGGAGAATATTCCCTGAAGGTTCTCTGAGCAGCACTGTGAAATTAAGATGTGGAAAAACTCATTTTGGATTTTTATTATTTGACCTTTTGTTCAAACACAGCCTGAGAAAAAAATCCATCAAGTGTTTTTGTGGATGTTGAAGAATAAAAAATCAAGATTATTCTCATTGAAAGGAAAACTCTATTTACCTCAAATGTCAAAGTCTTTCAGCTACTGTGCTGAGATTCAAGTAGTTACTGAGTTTACCTTAGTTTTGATCTGCAGCACATTAATCCTTCACAGTTGAAGCCTTCAGCACCCACTCTTTTTCAGCATTCCTTTTTGGGGGGAAGGAGAATTTCTATTTTCAAATCACTCCAAAAATTTATAATTATTTGTTCTTCATCCTCATCCTATCCAATCATTGAGAGTAGGGGAGGAAAAAAATGCTTAATGGGATGCATGCTTTTAAAGGAATTCTTTACTCAGTTTATTTCCTACATAGAGAAGTGAACCAGTTGATACAAATAAATCATCTTTGCAGATGTAATGGATGGCTATAGCTCCAACATTAAAATCCCAGCCAGTGTCTGACCTTCCTCGTGCTTTTGAATGGTTATTTGAAAGCAATACTTTAGTCTCAATTGTCAGAGATGCATGGACAGGTTTAGGGGTTGGCGGTTGATGTTTTCAAAGTATTTGATCGTAAATCTCTTAGGTATTGGCAGAGATATTTCCCTGTTTCTACTCAAGAAAGGAAAACAGTATCCTTTCAAGTGGCAACATGGTTTCTAAGTAATTTAATTTGGAATGACGATTATCAAGTAACAAAAAGCAACATACAGTTGTGAATAATCAAGTGTACAGCAATGTATACAACATGGTGGAAAAAACAGTTTTTGTATCACTTCATTAAGTCATAAGGATTTTTTCCCTAAATATTGATGGTAGCAAAGAGCCCATTATAACACACTGGTCCTAAATCCAAACATATAATGAGCACAAAATCAGTCATTCAATGAGCTGTGCGTGTAATATACATACATGGCTGACACCATTTCCTGAAAAATAGCCACAACTAACTCCACTTTCTGTGCAAAAAAAACGACTTTTATATCATCCGATCACCCGCTATTTCCTGCGCGTTGTGGATCATTTAAGCACTTCCTGTACATACAGGATATCCTGAAAATATCCGCAGACAGCTTAACAACCCCAAAATCAGCCATTTTTATTGTGCGGGAAACTAGACAACACTCACAGATCCACGGAGCACACGCCTTATAAGAAAGCCAGAAAATAGACCTTGGAAAGTAAGTTACCTTACTCTACATATAGCTGGATAATATACCTTTCTATTACCTGCCAGAATTGCAGGATACAGCTTTGCTGTGCTGATCCTTTTGTTTCCAAATATTCTGGTTAGCTTTGAGCCAACACCAGACGAGACAGTGCCTTCCACCCTGTTTTGTGAAATGATGCAACCTGTATATACATACCACAGAGAAAAAAATTACCAAATTTAATTATCAAATCCTGCGATTATTCATAAATGAAGGTTCCTTGGCAGTTAGCGTTCTTCCGTTGCAATTTACTTTGCCTCTCCTTTCTCTGCTGCATAATGGCCACTCCCAACAGAAAATGAATACTGTATATTGTAGGTCTCTAAGACACAAATTCATAGAAAGTATTGTATTGTAATACGAAAACAGGCCATTTGGTCCGTCAAGCCTCCACTCGTGTTTTTACTAAATCTAATCCTATCTCATGCTGTCCCATAATTTTAATAGACCTCCTTTTCAAAGTTTTATATAATTCCCCATGTATCTGCTTCACTGGAATTGCTTTGTTAAATGCAGAGCTTTTAAAAGGAAAAGCTTTAAAGGAAATAGTTTCTTCTTACTGCTTTTCTAGAGGTGTGTGTATAATGTATAACTCATTGGTGAGACCGTACTTAGAGTACTGTGTACAGTTCTGGTCGCCGCATTGCAAAAAGGATATAGGAGAAATCAAGAGGATATAGAGGAGGGCAACCAGAATGATTGAGAGAATGGTGGGACTATGAGGAACGACTAAGTAAATTGGGCTTGTTCTCGCTAGAAAAGAGAAGATTGAGAGGAGACATGATTTTTGCCTTTAAGATTCTAAAGACAGTTTAGATCATGACAGGCTGTTTCAACTTGGCCAGAATAGTAAAACCAGAGGACACAACCTGCAATTTAAGGAGGGTAAATTCAGAACAAATCTATTTCAATGATGAACAGTCAACCTGTGGAACTAGGGAGATGGTTGAAGTAGGAAATGATGATTCCTTCAAATACAGATTAGATAGTTTTCTTTTAGGAAATAACATTATGGGATATAGGTAGTTCGGGACATATATGCATGGAACTGCCAGGAAGCTGGAAGGTGAACTAGATGGACTCTGGTCTTTTTTTGTCTAGCATTTCTTATGTTCTTATGTAACGCAAAGCCAAATCTGACAAATATCAATGACTTATTTGCAGGGATCTGAGACAGAGTCCTTTCCGTCAGCGCATAAAATAATCTTGGCCAGATGAGACCTAATGTGGCGCATGAGAATCAGCTGAATGCCATTTGTGATTTTCTCTCAAAAATAACATTGTGACGGAACCTCATCTCAAATGGCATCAGCAGCTGACTCTGAAAGGTGCATCATTCTTCATAGTTGAGAGTAAATAAAAATGCAGTTATTTTTGAGACCAGCCCCACCAGCCCTTTAAACTTATTAAATGTGGGTTTAAGTGATATTTTATAATAATAATAATCATCATCCTTGCATTTGATATAGTGCTTTTCACATCTTCTAGACGTCCCAAAGCGCTTCACAGAATATGCTGTAAAGTGAATTGACTGCATATTTATGGGTGAAATGCGGCAGCCAATTGCGCACAGCAATGTCCCACAAACAGTGGGATGACCAATTTATTATTTTCTGTCATTGAAGGAGGGTAGCATGCCTCCCTTTCCCTCTTTGATTAAAATTTATGTTGTATGAGCCTCATCCAGATGTGTAGTGATGTCTCATAATTCAATTGATAAAATGGCAAAACTGTTTTTTCTGAACAGATTTCTGAATATTTCTTCTGAATAAATTAGATAAAGGCTGATATGCCACGTGCTACTATGTGCTTTTCATGTATTGTGACCACATTACTTGTTCTATAGAGGGGCAAATGACTAAATCATATTATTCAATGGAACAAAAAAGTAACATTAATATTTGTACCTATGTGAGTATAGAAAAAATAGTTTTACACTCCATTATGGTATACCGAGTGGCCAATTAGCTTTGACAAATGATGGGAAAACAGTGGTCTGCACTAATTTTTAAAAAAACCTTTTATTGTAATACCGGTAATTAAAGTTAAGGTTTAAAATAAGCATGATCTGAGTATCCTTCTTACTGCTGGTGCTGGAGAGGCAAATTAAATTATAAATGATCAATTTGTTTGTCTTCCTTTCAGCACAAAGAACTTTATTTAAAAGTAAGTTTTAGTTAAATGCAGTTCAGAATGTACTCAATACGTTCAAGGATCAAGGTTCAAAATATTCCAGGCTCAACATACAGTCCCATACCTCCATTTTTATTACACCTTTATGTTGATTTTCCGCATATTCACAATAAAAGTGTAGTATAGTGATTCAGTTCCAAGCCCAGGTCAGGAAGTGGCTTGAGGAATGGAATCGATGCAGTATAAATCCTTTTTTTACGAAAAAGTTCTTCAGGGTGTGTGTGTGTGTAAAGTTCTTAGTGTGATCAGTTGGTCTCCTGCCCTGAATCTCTCCACTGCTGGAAGTAATGTGAAGCTTCTTCAGTTGCATAAAAAGAGCATCATTAGAGAGTTAACTGCAGCCATTCTCCACCAGACAGTACAATCCAACAACAGCAGCTTTCCCTTGGGTCTTCTGCATTTAATGAGCAGCTGCTTTTCAACAAAGTGTAAAAATGGAGCAAAGCTTGAAAGAAATTTGATAAATAAAAATAAATATGATCTCACCAACACTTCTCATTTGACTGAAAAACTTTAGAAGTTTGTTTCCATAACTATTACACATAATCTGTATAGTAATGGTGAACTGGAGCACCAATGCATGAGAGGTGGGGGGGATCGATTTCCTTGAATGTTCCTGATGTCAGACGTCACTGAGAATAGACTCCTCCCCACATTTGTGAGGGAAAATCTGCTTACAGATTTATTAACCTAAATCATAATGTCAATTTATGCTTTGCTGTGCTCTTCTGCAACAGGACTCTGGGAACACTCCTCCTCAGCTTTCCCCATCCCTTAGCCAAAGCACTTACACTGGTGGTTCTCTGGATATCCCCTCTGCCCATTTAATAATGCAAGGGGATGCAAGAAGACGACTTAATGACAGCTACTTTGAGGATATGCCACGGTCAAAGCTTGAAAGACAAATGGCACAAGTAAGTTGATTCGAATGGCAAACAATAAATAGGCCGTTGATCTGGTTAGGCTCATGAACCTCACTGTGCCAGTTTGGCGTATTTACAAAACAATTATTAATTTTTAGTTTTTATTTGCTGTATTTGCTGTATTTATTTGCTCTAGTTCAGGCTGTGTTATGGTTTGATAAAATATGTTTTAATAAATTAGCATTAAATTAATTATCAAGCTCACACCATCACTGGGATAGACAGATATTTATTTTAATGAGTATTCCTGAAATATTCTAAATTGTGATGTTGAGTTTTGTGGTGCTCTTGGTATCTACACCACTGTATAAATTTGTCTCCACGTGAGACTTAAATGAAATGGGAAGCAGGTAGAATCCAAATGTTAATATCCTTTACATACAGTGGAGACCTCTTGAGATCATTTACCACTTAACAAAATTTGATGTGAGGTCAGATTTCTATGGGGTTTTGCTTTAGTGATGAGAATATAGAGTTCAGTGAATAGCTTCCCTTTCCAGCACATCACAGTGCGGGTTCCAGTATTGTTTAGAATTTAGCTGGTTCCAGTATTGTTTAGGATTTAGTACACCACTTGCAAAACTTATTACAGTCATTTAGGGCATTATCCCTCTTCCCACCACCACCCAACCCACATCATTCTCCTACCACCCCTGGAAAAGGATCTCCCCCCACTCCCTCTCCACTGCCATGGAGTCGTTGGAACTCCTCCCCCTCTGGCCTACCTCCCGCAATGACGTATCCTCCTTGGTCACTCTTCTCCACAACTGCCTCTCCACCACTTTTGATGCCCATGCCCCACTCACCTCCCGAACCATATAATACTCACGAATCTCACCCTGGTACACTAGCCACCTCCACTCATTTAAGGATCAGGTGTGTGCTGCTGAACACACCTGGCTCAAATCTGATTTAACGGTCCATCAGCAGATCTGCCTGGACCACATAAAAACTTACCAGTAGGCCCTTGCCTACACTAAATCATCCTTCTATTCCAAGGTAATCTGGGAGGCCAAGAACAACCCCAGGCTTCTCTTCTCCTGCAAACGAGCTCCTCCATCCAACCTCTCACACCTCGTCCATCCTCTCCTCCAACTGCAACTATGAGGAGATTTCCTTGAGACCACAATCGAGGGGATCCGTTCAGCTGCCTCCACCCTCCCAACCGCCACACCCTCCCCATCTCTCCTTCACACTCCGGCCTCTACCCATCCCTCCCTCCCCACCTTTGAACCTGTCTCTCCCTCCTCTCTCATCACCACTATAACCTGCGTGAAGCCCACTACCTGCTTCCTCGATCCCATTCCTACCGATCTCTTTACCTCCCAGCTCCACCTCCTCACCCCATTACTCTCAGACCGCATCAACATGTCCCTGTCCACTGGCACCATTCCCACACCCCTAAAAACAACTGTCATCACCCCTATTGTAAAAAAAACCTTCCTTGAACCCATCCCTGCTCACTAACTACTACCGCTCCATCTCCAATCTCCCTTTACGTTTCAAGGTCCTTGAAAAAGTTGTTGCTTCATAGCTTCGCTCCTTCCTCTCCTGCCACTCCCTTTACGAACCCCTCCAATCGGGTTTCCATTTTCCAAAGCATGGAAACAGTCCTGGTCAAGGTGACAAATGACATTCTGTACATCTGTGACCAGGGCTCTCTCAGTCTCCTGGTCCTCCTTGACCTCTCTGCTGCCTTTGACACTGTGGACCACTCTATCCTCTTCCACTGCCTCTCTCATGTTAACCTTCAAGGTTGTGTCCTTGAATGGTTCAGATCCTATCTCTCACACCGGCTCCACTTCAACCTGTACCTGCTCCTTCTTGGTGACATCATCTGCAGACATGGGATCAACTTCCACATGTACACGGATGACACCCAACTCCAACTCTCTGCCTCCACCCTCGACCCCAGGACGACTGATGTCCTGACAGACATCAAGTCCTGAATGAGATCCAACTTTCTACAGTTGAACGTCAGCAAGACAGAGACTCTCCTGATTGGCTTGCGCCAGCGCCTCCGCACCTCAGACACTGGCAGCATCAGCATCCAAGGATGCACACTCCACCTCACCAAACCAGTCAGAAACCTAGGCGTCTTGTTCGACCGTCAACTGTCCTTCTCCCCCACATCCATGCCATGGGAAGTTGCAAATGTTGTAATGTTGTGTGAAAAGACACACATAAATAGGTTATAATTTCTGAACTGTACCATATGACAACTCACATTTTGCTTGAAATACAAACTACTGTTTTTATTACATAAAATGACATCTAAGATTTGGAGTCCTGTAGCTCAGTGGTTAGAGCACTCACTTTGCAAACGATAGTTCGATTCCCAGCAGGGTGAAACCTTGGGCAAGTTTCCTTACTCCGCTCTCCTAATAATAATAATAATAAAAATGTGAAAAGCGCTATATCAAATGCAAAGATTATTATTATGATCCGCTTTGCCTTCTCCCACCTCCGCAACATTGCCCGACTCCGCCACTGCCTCACTCCACAGACCACCTTGATACATGCCTTCATTACAACCAGGCTCAACTATGCCAATGCCGTGCTTGTCGGCCTTCTCAACTCTTCCTTCCAACAGCTGCAGATCATCCAGAACTCTGCAGCTCATGTCCTCTCCCACACCAGGCTTCGTGACCTCATCACACCCACCCCCACCGGTTCCATTGGCTCCCTATCCCTCAGAGGATCGAGTTCAAAATTCTCGTCCTCACCTTCAAGGTCCTCCATGGCCTTGCCCCCTCCTACCTCTCCAACCTGCTAAACCCTTATCAACATGTTCCCTCCCTCTGCTCAGCAGGCACTGGCCTGCTCCATGTCCTCCGCCTGGCCTGTCCCAACATTGGCAGTCGGGCCTTCAGCCTCTCTGCCCCCATCCTCTGGAATTCCATCCCACATTCCCTCCACCTCGCTCCCTCCCTTGCCTCGTTCAAGGTAGGCCTCAAGACTCTTCTCTTTGACCGTGCCTTCGGCCACCCTCCTGCCTTGCACCTCCCTGATCCCAACCCCCCTCCTCCCTGCGCCTTGCGGTATCCTCCCGACGTGAAAGGCACTTTACAAATGTAATTTTGTATTGTATGGTTACAGAAATGCAGGGTCACTATTTGCTTATCATTTTTGCAAAACTCTTCACCAACATGAAAACGAATAGATAATTAAATAAACACACACGCACATCATTAATCCCATTCTCCACTACTGCCACAGAGACAATTTCCATGCTGAAGATTTGCAACTGATAAGTTCTAATATGGCTTCTTGTCCTGTGTCTCACAACCAGTGCTGAAAAAGAAACTTTATCTACACTATTCAAATGTTCTGTTGAAGACAGCGTAATTAAACAAGCACAAGAAAAAAAACATAGCAAGAGCTGCCAGACTTTTTTATTTTTATAACATAATTCATTCTAATATCAGTTCGCTCTCTCGGCTTCCTAGAAATAACCACAGAAAGAGGCCATTTACCCCCTTCATGTGTGTTTTATCTGTAATTAAACTTTGTCCAAATAGTGTTGATCTTAAATGGGCTGCAATTATTAGTGGTAATAATAGTAATAATCCTTGCAATTGATATAGCTCTTCATCACATCAACAAAGTGTCTCAAAGTGCTTCACATTGTTTTACGGTATAGTGATTGTTTATTTGTAGGCAAACAAGGCAGCCAATTTGTGCACAGCAATACAATTAGTAACTTCTTAGTAGCCAGGTCATTCATTTTCATAAGTGATGCCAGTTTAGACAGGTTTGGCAAGACTGTAATCTAATTGCCTTTTCAAACTCAGCAGGCGGAATGGAGTGAGCCTTCTATCACTCTTCGGCCTCCAAATGAAGCTACATCATCTACACCTGTACAGTACTGGCAACACCATCCTGAAAAACTCATCTTCCAGTCCTGTGATTATGAAGCATATGTAAGTACCTATTGAGTATCTGCCACCAGCTTACCACATGGAGTACAGTTGATGGCTCTGCAACGTATGCCCATAAACTTCACAAACTGTTTTCTAGCCTCAATATTATACGTAGGATTAAATAGTATTTTAATACAGAATTTAAATTAATTTTCATTAGCGATGTTAAATCATTTGAAGCCATTTATTATGATTTTTTAAAATTTAAATAAAGACCGAGAATGCACTAGAAAAGTAATTGTCTTTTCTACCCTCAGTATTTAGGTTCTATGTTGGTGAAGGAGTTGCGAGGAACAGAGTCAACGCAGGATGCATGTTCAAAGATGCGGGTACGTCTTGGCAGAGATGGAATACTGGTACCGTAATATTTTATTTCCTTCACTTTCAGGGAACTATTTATGAGGAATAGGTCAATATGGTTCTTAATCAGCATAATGAAGCGTTGTGTGGTGAAATGGTACATTGGTCCCCTCATGTCTGAATTTGGCAAGAATGATGGTGTGAAAATCTCTCTGAAGAATATATAGGTTCTCAATCCTGAAAGTTTGAACAGAGTCCGTGAGTTCCCTAATGCATCCAAAATCTTAGGTGAACTACCACAAATTGTAATTTAATTTGCAGATTTAATTCAATCTGTAAATGCTCCATGTGCAAACTAGGCAGGTTGGTTTAAGCATATGAAAATACATGGGCATAGAGGGAAATTGCAGATTACCTTAATATGTAATCTACAACCAATGATTATGGGTAATTCTGTAATCCTTTACATTGATTACTAATTATGAAGTTAAGGTTGAGGATCTTAAATTTGATCCGCGGGGGGCTCTCAGAGTCTGGTGCAGGAGAAGACATGGGTGGATCATCTGGATCATCTATTAAATCCTTTGAATTTACAGGAGTTTGTCTAGTTGATGATCTGTGAGCACATGATCTATTTGGGACCTCTTTTGTTTAATATTTTTATACATGATCTGGAATTAGGAGTCGCAAGCACAATGGATTGCAAAGTTTGCAGATGACACCAAGCTAATGCAAAGCTCAACAAGATAGGTTACAGGAGGATTTGAACATAATTGGGAATTGGGCGATTCCTAGTTCCAGATCATTTATAAAAATATTAAACAAAAGAATGGCAGATGAAATTCAATATGGAGCAATGTAAAGTAATTCATATAGGGACAAAAAATCCGAGAAGGGACTAATATTTGAATGAAGACAAATAATATGTATGGAAAATGAAAAGGACCTGGGAGTCTGATTGACAATAAATTGAAGCTCTCGTGACAACGCTCTGGCAGTAAGTAAAGCAAACCAGATGTCAGGATGTATCAAAAGATCAATAGCAAGCTGAAATAATGGGGTAATCCTGTCATTGGATAAATCACTGGTGAGACCATACTGTGTACAGTTCTGGTCACTGCAATACAAAAAGGGTATTGGAGAAATTGAGAGATTACGGAGGAAGACAACCAGAATGATTGAAAGAATAGAGAGACTATGAGGAGTGACGATGTAAATTGGATATGTTCTGACTGGAAAAGAGAAGATTGAGAAGAGATATGATTGCTGTGTTTAAGATTCTACAGCAACAACAACTTGCATTTATATAGCGCGATCCATGCTGGGCGCGTTTCAGGGCCCTTAACTATGACGGAGTCCTGTAGCTCAGTGGTTAGAGCACTCGCTTTGCAAGCGAGAGACCTGAGTTCAATTCCAGGCAGGGCGAAACCTTGAGCAAGTTTCCTTACTCCACACGCCTAATAATAATCCCTTCAAAACCCAAAATAATAATAAATTGGTCATTTTCAATCTACGACTGTTTGTGGGACATTGCTGTGTGCAATTGGCTGCCGCGTTCGCCCACAAATATACAGTCAATTCACTTTACAGTGTGTTCTGTGAAGCGCTTTGGGATGTCCTCCTGACGTGAAAAGCGCAAATGCAAGGATTATTATTATTATTATTATTATTATTAGAGCCTGAGGCCGAGCCAGGGGGAGGGTGACCATAGGTGCGGTCGAAGAAGAAGATCTTCAGGCACGACCTGAAGATGGGGAAGGAGAGGACGAGGCAAAGCAATTGAGGTGGGGGGAGTTCCAAAGTTTCGGGGCTTAGTGGTTGAAGACTCGGCAGCCGATGGTGGAGCGGAGGATTTGGGAGACACGTAGAAGGCCGGACCCAGAAGAGCAGAGGCAGTGGGTACTGCTGGGGGGAGAGAGAAGGTTGAGAGATGGGGGGTGCCAAGGAATGGAGGGATTTAAACTCTAGAGTGAGTATGTTGAAGTCAATCCTCTCTGTGGCAGTGAGCCAGTGAAGATTGGCAAGGACTGGAGTAATTGGGGCATGTAGTTTGATGCAGGTGAGAATGCGGGCGGTGGAGTTTTGAATGAGCTGGATTCTGTGAATAGCGGAGGAGGGGAGACGAGCGAGGGTTGTTAGAGTAGTCCAGCCGAGAGGTGACAAAGGCATGCACGAGAGTTTCGGCAGCTTTTGGGTTGAGGTATTGTCGGAGACGGGCAGTGTGGCGAAAGTGGAAGAAAGCGGTGCTGGTCAGGGACTGGATGTGGCGGGAGGAAGGATAACTGGGGATCGAACCTGACGCCTTAGTTGCGCACAGGTTCGGAGAGTTTTAAGGACAGGCCAAGTAGGTTGAGGAGGTTGAAGCCTTGTGACAGAAGATGTCGGCGGGAGCCAAAGAGTATGGCTTCCATCTTGTTGACATTTAACTGCAGGAAATTTGCGCTCATCCAGCTCTTGATGTCCGACAGAACATCAGGGGACTGGGGGTCGTAGCTGGAGGTAGAAAAGTGGAGTTGAGTGTCATCTGCATACATGTGGAAGTTAACCCCGTGTCTGTGGATGACATCACCGAGAGGGAGCCTATAGATGAGGAAGAGAAAGGGGTCAAGGTTGGTTCCTTGGGGTACCCCACAAGTGACCAGGTGGACGTGAGAAGAAAAACTATTTACAGAAATGTAATGCTGGTGGTTTGTAAGGTAGGCCTCAAACCAAGTGAGTGTGGTCCCACTGAGGTGGATAATGGAGAACAGGTGGTGAAGGAAGATGGCGTTAACGCAGCAGAGAAGTCAAGGAGGCAGAGGGAGCCCTGGTCACAGATAGAGAGGATATCGTTTGAGGATTCTAAATGGGCAAGAACAATGTAGATCATGACAGGCAGTTTCAACTTGTCCAGAATAGTAAAACCAGGGGACATGGCCTGCAATTGAAGGGGAATAAATTCAGAATGAATCTACGAAAACACTACTTCAGTGAGCGAATAGTAAATCTGTGGGAGATAATTGAAGCAGGAAATGTTGATTCCTACAAACACAAATTAGATTGTTTTCTTTTAGGAAATAACATTATGGGATATAGTACATAGATAGTTTGGGATATAGTACATAGGTAGTTCGGGACATATGTGCATGCGACTGCCAGGAAAGTGGAAGGTAAACTAGATGGACCTTGGTCTTTTTTTATCTAAGATTTCTTATGTTCTTATATGATATTGACATATGCTGAAAGTGGAAGAATGTTCCACTCCCCAACACTGCCAACTCTCTAAACACATTTTCCTAAATTCATAAATTGTTGAAAATTGTGAAATCTGCACACAATCTTTTTTTGTAGGTCAAACAGCAAAACTACTGTTGGTACAGATGTTGCATTTGTTTTAAGGTCAAAGAGATTTGCACTGAGGATTTCTGAATATTTTGTTGTACTACTATTATCTTTTCATCGCTGTAAGGGGAAAGTGTAAATTATATTGTAGTTAATAGGTTTTAAGGCAATATTTTGACTGTTTGTCCATAAATGTTAACTTATCACTTTAATAAGCCATGAAAGCATTATAAAGCTTTTCATAAAACTTGCTAAGTGATGTCTTCTCACTAACTTAAATATGTGATTGTGCTTACACATTGCCCACTTGCTTGTTCCACTATCGAAAAAAGCTTTTTGCCTGGAACAATCTTTTGTTTCTTACAAATACATATATAGGATTTCACTTTGTGATCATTTCTCATACTATGTTCCCAACTAGAATAATCAACACTTTGAGTTACATGAATATTTCTTTATTCACCCTTTTGTAAAGGCACAATTTTCTTCTTCCTAATTATTTCACTATCTCCGCTCGACCACAGATCTCCTGCGGCTGAGAAGCTGGGTATGCTGCCCACTGGATACTGTCAGTAGTGCTGTTAGCTGGCTAAATGCATATTTTCAGTGAAGAAAAATAAAAATAATATCTCTGAAAAGATGAAATTCATGAATCGCTATCTTCAAACTGACTACTTCCTCAGAGACCAGTTCCTCCTCTGAGTTGCCAGTGAAAGTGGTGCTTTGGTTCCTGTATATGTTGGCAGCAACACTAGAACTAATAGATTTCTGCTCCAGTTCAAAATGAGGCATTAGCCTTCACCCATGAAAACACAGATTCCTTAACAATCAAATTGGAACAAATCAATCTTGAATTGAACAAAAAAAACTGAATGTCTCAGCATGGTGTTATGTTTCTGATTTCCATACCTAATTTGCTCTGTTAAGTTTTTCTGGTTGGAAGCTATTTAAGCTGACAACTCCTCATCATGTGGCCGTATAATTTTTTCCATTGTAAAAATGTTGAGCCTTATGGTTTTATTCCTTTTGGCAGTTTTCTAATTAACAATACAACTCTTACTTGCCTTGTCTGATTGTATGATCAGCATTAACAATGCTGATTATACAACCTCCTCACAAATCCCTCTCTTCCTCGGATCTCCTCTCCCTCTGGCCCTCTACCCACAGCAATCCTGATGCAGCCATCAAGCTTTCCACAACCTTCAATTCCCTGGCTCCCCTGAAATCCAGGTTTGTTTCCAAACCACCTGCTCCCCTTGATACAACAGTCATCTCCACTCATTCAAAACACAAATTCGGACGCTCGATGCACCGCCAGCTGGGGCTCGAGCACCTCCGCACCTACCGCCTCTCTCTTTCACAAGCTGTAACTGACTTTCACTCCAAAGTCATCCTGGAGGCAAACAACAATCCAAATATGCTGTTTTCCTCTATCCATCACGTCCTCCGTGCACCACCTCAAACTCCCTCTATCGTCACATCAAGCACGAAGTCCTAGACTTCTTTGCATCAAAAATTGAAATCATCCACTTGGCTGCATCGTCCTCTTCCCCTCCCAAACTACCCAGTCCCCTTTCACACCACCCAGATCATCCACCCCATCTTCTCCCTCCGCCACATCTCCTGCCACTCCCCCTTCCTTACACTCCTTTACTCCTATTTCTCTCTCCTCCCTCCCAACCACAATCATCCGGATGAAGTTCACCACCTGCTGCCTCAATCCCATTCCCACCCAGCTGCTGGTCACTCAACCCCCCCTGCTCTTCCCCCTGCTGGCCGACACGGTCAACCAATCTCTCTCCTTAGGCTCTGTTCCACTCCCCCTGAAAACCGCTGTCATCACACACCTCCTCAAAAAACCCACCCTCGATCACTCTAATCATTCACACCATCTCCAACCTTCCCTTCCTTGCCAAAGACCTGGACCGCATTGTAGTAGGTTAACCTAGTTCACATCTCTCCCTCCACTCTCTCCTCGAGCCTCTGCTGTCTGGTTTTCGCCCTGCCCACAGCACAGAGACAGCGCTTGTCAAACTCACAAACCACATTCTCTCTCTCTCTGTGACCAGGTTAGGGTTAGGCCTCCTCATCCTCCTGGATCTCTCTGCTGCATTCGACACAGTTAACCATGCCATCCTCCTCCACCACTTGTCCTCCCTCATCTACCTTAGTGGGACCACATTCGCATGATTCGAGTCCTACTTAACCAACTGCCTCCATTTCACCTCAGCAAATGGTTTCTCTACCCGCCCTCGGACGGGTACCCCAGGGCTCCATCCTTGGCCCTCTTCTTTTCCTTATCTATATGCTCCCTCTGGGTGGTGTCATCCGCAGTCATGGGGTAAGTTTCTACATGTAAGCGAATGACACACAAATCTACTTTGCCTCCTCCAGTACCAACTCCAGGTCCACCGATATTCTATCAGCCTGTCTGGCAGACATTAAGGCCTGGATGAGTCTAAACTTCATGCAGCTGAATATGGACAAGGCGGAACCCATACTCCTTGGATCCCATCAATATCTTCACTCCTGCGCATCTAAACTCGTCAATCTCCCTGGGCTCTCCTTCAGACTCACCGAACCAGTGCGCAATTCAGTTCGACCGCAATCTGTCCTTCTTCCCCCACATCCAGTCCATGACCAGGACTGCCTACTTCCATCTCTGCCACATTGCCCACCTCCGACCGTACTTTAACCCAAATGCAGCCGAAACCCTCGTGCATGTGTTTGTCACTTCCCTCTTCGATTACTCCAACGTACTCCTCACCGGTCTCACCAGCTCCACCATTCAAAAAATCCAGCTCATTCAGAACTCTGCCGCCCGCATACTGATCCGTATCCACATCTCACCAGTTCTGGCTAGGCTCCATCACTAAACGGATCGACTTCAAGATTCCCACTCTCGTGTTCAAATCCATTCACTCCCTGGCACCTCCCTAACCTCTCTGACCTGCTCACTCCCCAATCGACCACCTGGCTCCTCTCCTCAACTGGAACTGCCCTCCTGTTCATCCCTCACACCCCACCATCGGAGGTCACGCTTTCAGCTTCTATGCCCCAAACCTCTGGAATACTCTCCCTCAATCCCTTCACCTTGCTCCCTTTCTCAAGTTCTGCCAGAAAACTTTCCTCTTTGACCATGCTTATGGCCACCTCTACCCACCACCCCCCACCCCGGCTCAGAGACTCGGGAGTCAGGCTCCACCACTGTTAAATGCTCTGAAACGCTACCCTGCATGGAGGGCGCTATATAAGTGCAAGTTGTTGTTGTTAACACTGCAAGTGAGCATTCTTGTCAAGAAATGGAACTGCTGTCAGCAAGAGTAAACTTATGCAATGAATCAAAAGAGATTGATTTCCCAATCTCAGATCTGAGAGAGTTGGTGACACTTATGCAGTAACATTGTGTCTCTTTTATCATTGGTTTTGGAAAAGTAAAGCACTGTTCTGTTTCCTAGAAGTCCTCGGAACAAATGAAGAAGATTCCTACAATCATACTTTCAATCTCATACAAGGGGGTAAAGTTCATCGATGCTACAAACAAGGTGAGTTCTGCTTAGAATAATGCAAGTTGAAAACTGCACTGATGTAACCGTTTGAAAAATCTAGTGTTTGGCTGCCGATTGTCATTAATCATTCATAGACAAGTAACAATTTTTTTTAAGCAGGTAAGGGCAATAAGAAGATTTACTTTTTATTTTCAAAATGCCACAAAAGAAAAGCTAACAAGCTGATTTACATCTTGCGTTTTATGTTCCTGGTTGGTTTCTTTTCTTGGCTGCCATTTATATCATGGAACTGTTGTGTTGTAGGCTATATTTGACCCTTTTCTTGACCAATCCTTATAATTCTCAAATCAGTTCCTAACTAAATAGTGCTTCAACTCTTTTTAAAGTTACCGCATACAAATAAACTCTATCTGATGCCCTATTCCACATCTCTGCAGGTGACCTCCATTGTATCTTAAGGCTTATTCATTTTATGCATAATTTTTGTTTCTGTCCTCCCAGTCCAGCTTTACAAGGGTCAGTAATCATATTCACGTGCACGTATTTTTATTCCTTCCTGTTCCAATGTGTGATATCTTACATTTATTCACGTTTAGATCCATCAATTAATCAATGTACTTAATTGATCCACATAGCCTTGATTGCTGCCAATCTTACATTTATTACTTGACCTTACCTCATGGTATCAATAACCCAAAGAGGGCTAGAAGTTGATCTAATTCACATAATTTGCAGGACATACTGCTTATTGTTGAATGGCAAAGTTAAGAGTTAAATACATGGGAGGTTGAAGCATGAACTTTAAAAAATATATAATTATAAATTAAATTTTACATAATGCTTGATAGATTTTCCAACAAAAATACTGTCACTCACTTTACATTAAATCCTGTACAGTGCTTTGAGGAGACATACTGACATGAAAGGCGCTATATCAAATGCAAGGATTATTATTATATAATAGCCACTCAATGTTTCATTGATTGGTGTGAAAGTAAGTAAATTACTCTGAATTACTCTGAGCTAGAATGGCCTCATTTAAAAATTCAGGCTTTTATTCAATATTTAATTGAACAGCAAGAAAAAAAACAATTTAATGTTTCACACAGATAACAGTGGCAGAGCCTGTGTCAGTAATAAACTGGTGTTCCTGGTTTACTTTGATCCTACATTTCTAAATGCTAAAACAATTTTTTGGTTCTACATTCACATTTAATGTGATTACATAAGTTCATGTAGTATTGTCACTCTACATTGTCTTTCGCCCTATCTACCAAATATTAGTTTCTGATTGAAGGAAACTATACCATCATTTTCTTCTGCATACGTTCAAGTGCAGTTGTATATTTTATACTATAATAGGCACTGCTATGATCATCTGTTGAAGCTGACATTGCTGATTTCCGATCATATTTCTGGCCATTATTGTCAACTCAATATCCATAACTTAATCTTCCAGAATGTGCAAGAACACTCAACATAAATAATGCACAACCAATGAAAGGTTTTTTAAGTAAAAAAATAAAAACTTGCCTAATGGAAAATCTATTGATGAAAATCTTAGTATTTTAATAATCATTGCATGACACATTTTGTAGAGGTGTGTGGAAAAGCTTTATGTAATGATATTTGTCTATTGAAGAAACATCACAGAGTGTGCTCCTGATAAAGGTTAAAGTCTTGACAAATGAGACAAGGAGTGCTGCGCTTGGGTATCTCCATCCAAAAGCAATAACGAGCTTTACGATAATCATGAGTATTGTATTTAATTATGTATATTCTTGTTCGCATTGTGCATGCCGCTCTATTGTTCGAAAAGCTTGATTAATTTTGACACTCTTGCCTTTTGTTTTCAACAGAATATTATCACAGAACATGAAATTAGGAACATTTCTTGTGCTGCTCAAGACCCTGAAGATCTTTCTACATTTGCCTACATCACAAAAGATTTGAAGTCAAGTCACCACTACTGTCATGTTTTCAGCGCATTTGATGTGGTCAGTCTTTTGACATTTTTCATGTTTTTCTGCATTGGTAGAGTAATTCTCTTGTATGATTTCTCCCTCCCTCCCTCCCTGGGTTCTTCTCGACTAATAAGCCACAAATACTGGGAGTCAGGTTACATCCACTTTGCGCTGCATGGTTTCAGTAATGTTTCTGTTTTGGTTGATTACTGCACAATCAGATTAAATGAAGTTATCATTACCAATTGAGAGCAATGCAAAAAAATGACAATAAATGCTACATTATACTTCAGCCCCAAGCCTTTATATTAAAATGCTATGCACATGATTAAACATGCACCAATCTTAAGCATGCACCAATCTTTTTGATATAATATTTAAACTTTAAGATGCAAATGCCCAAACCATCCATCCTGTTGTAAAATCTGTGTGAGTGTGAGACAGAGAGACAAACTTAACTGATATGCATTATATTCACTGACTTGTGGCCTGATTTGATATGGCTGCAAGGGTTACAAGAAACAACCAGCCCCTCACTTTAGAGGAAGATCGCACAAGTTGAAAGACTGTTAAGGAGAGTGACTTTGAAAAGGGGGTATTAACTTCCTGTAAATTAGTTATGAAATGATAAGAGGGGACTTGGGGCTTGAATCCACAAACTTTTGACTTGAGGGCAAGATTTGCTACTAACTGAGCCATGATAATATGCTAATTACTACACAGAATATTATATTTTTTAACTTATATTCATGTATTTGCACTTAAGTAACATGATCCTAAACACCACTCCTGAGTGTTGCCTGCGATACTTTCAAATGTGTGCTGGAAAATGTGAAGTATCTTAACGGTCACATTTTCCTGGAATGTTTACAAAAATTTGAAATTTAGAGATGAACCAAATATATTTTCTTGCAGCGGTTGAAATCTTTGTATGGCAAACATTGTATTGTCCCACAAACAGTCGTAGATTGAAAATGACCAATTTATTATTGTTTTTTTTTTGAAGGGATTATTATTAGGTGTGTGGAGTAAGGAAACTTGCCCAAGGTTTCACCCTGTCTGGAATTGAACTCAGGTCTCTCGCTTGCAAAGCGAGTGCTCTAACCACTGAGCTACAGGACTCCACTTATCCTATAAGTGGTGGAATACATCAAGTAATAGATTCCATAAATTGCTGTACAGTCCATTCATAAGCATAAAAAACTTGATGAATAGAATTCAACTAAACTACGTAGCCAAGATAAATTTAAAAGAAAAACAAATATTTTACAGTATTTCCGGAGAGATTTTCCTCGTGTTCTTTGGGCAGCTAATTATTTGCCTTATTAAAACCAGAAAGTGGTGAACACGCAAGGACATTTCATTGAATGGTTTCAGACATAAGTTACAGTAATGTGAATCCACACTGCTGCAAGAATCTCTCATTGGAATCAGTGGTGATATATCTGCAGTGGAAAGGTCCTGCTGTTTCCATGGAGATCCAAAATGTTGCAGTTACAATTGTTACGAGTATGCATATATAAAGACATTAGAAATCACTGTTCAAAAGAAACTGCTGAGATGTGCAACCTTTTGAAATGGCAATACTTTGGCAAAACCTTGAAGCACAACATGCAATTAAGTGTGTGCATAATTTGCTAAAAGCTATCATTTTATAAATTTTGCTTATAAGATTATCAGAAGAAAAACGTGTCTATCTGGTGGAATACATCAAAAGCAACAATTATTTAAAGGTTTAATATAAGGGCATAATTGAACATTGTGATACATTCCTTTTTTAAGTTAAAATCAATCTTGAGTTGGATTCTTTCATTATTAAATATGTTTAATTTATCTGTTGACCTCTTAGAAATACCTGAGTATATTTCAAAAAGGAAACTAATCAGATACGCCGTACAGCGTTATTATTTTATTAATACATATCCTATTTAGAACAACGAGTTTGCTTCATTTTGCACGCACATTTTCACATTTCCAGGATATCAGGGGAGGTGTTTTTATTATAGATATAAGTGGGCTGAAATTATGATTGGTTTTACGCATAATACCTTGGTAATGCATAATTACAATGGAGGAAAATCCCATTAACAGCCAACATCGGCAACAACTCAATACGCAACGCACAATACAGTGGAATCCGTTTCATTATTTTGTGTAGCAGCTTTTGTTTTCTACTAATCAAATAATTTTCATTAAAATCAGCATTTTTCATCTTTTACTTCCAGAATTTAGCTTATGAGATCATTTTAACACTTGGACAAGCTTTTGAAGTAGCCTATCAGTTGGCCCTTCAAGCCAGGAAAGGTGGCCATGGACTGCCGTCAATGCAAGATAGTCTTGAAAATAAAATTGGCAAGCCAATCCCAAAACCACGAGCAAGTATCCGGAAATCTGTGGTAAGAGGCTACTAAGCAGATAGATGCATTGAAACAACTTGTACTTATTATTGGCACTAAGAAATTCATTGATTCTCATGAGCACTGTTACTTGGCAGAAACATATATTAGTGACAGCAAGGCTACTGGTAAAAATTGGGCGCAAGATTGTTTAACATGCAATAAGCAGTTAGAAGGAAATCAGTTTAAAAAATGACCTTTCAATAGTAATACAAATGGATTGCTGTCTAGAATGCACTTGGTGTATACGTGTTGCAAGTGAGTTGAAGCCAGGAGTAAATCGAGCACTGAAATTTCGCCATAGGGAACTGTGACAAGCAAAAGCCTTCTTTTGTCATTTGCAGAAGAACCATTATGAGTCCAAGAAATACAGTCACTGGCTCTGAATGTTAATCATTAATCATGTAGGGTTTCTAACCTCAAAGGTTTATCAGCATGTGATCAGTGAAAGTGAAAAGGAAATTCATAACCCAGTCTAATAAACACTGCTTCAAATACTTAAGTATAAATGAATCAAATCCCTTTAGCGCTTGCTGCCAGGTATCAGATACACTTTCAGGAAAATGATTAACCCAAACCATTTTCACCTTCTCGAAGCCTCTTTTAGAGTGTGATAGGTGTGATATCTCAAAGCGAGTTATCTGCCCACTTTTCTTGGTCTATTGAGAATGCCAAAGGCAGCAATTTTTAAAAAAATAAGGCTTTTAGTTTAAAATCAGCAAATGCAGTGTATAGCAGATAATTATTTTTTAAAAAACTGTAGAGAAATACACCAGCTCAAAATATTCTCTACTTGGGTAGAATCTGTCATATAGATCTCAAATATTGGAAGATTTCGGATGACTGTATTATCCTGAAAAGAATCATCATACATTTAATAATTGGATACATGTTTATAGCCAATTTTGAGGAATATCTGCTTGTGTAATATTAAATTATTTATTGAACTTTTGTTCAAGCCTGAAGAAGCTACTGTATGTAGCATAGTACCAGAACTGGTTACAGCTACATGAAAACGCTGTACCACAATATTACTCTGTTTCTCAATCTAGCAATTGTATTCTAAATGCCAGTTTCTCTGTCTTTGTTTGCTCCATGTCCCTTCATCACTATCTTGTTCTCATTGTATTTGTCACTGCTGTATGAATAATAATTTATTTTAATAGTCTAGGGTTCATGCACATTGTCTGAATCATTTGCTCAGTCATCATATGCAGGCAACTTAGGAAATGGATGATTAATGATGGCACTTTTGGGTTTTGCTTGTGAGCTGTCTACTCTGGCCTCTTTCACAGCTCCATTGGCTATTAATAGCACTTGGAGAGTTACAGATTTACAGTGGAATTGCCATATATAAAGGCTAATATCCCATTGATAATAGTGATGTATTTTTATACGCATTGTAAGGAGAGCCTAAACAAAATACCTGCATTGATTAATTCTGTTTAAGATAGATTTTCTTTTTAAAATGCTTTTATCACAAGATTTTAACTAAAAAGATCAGGTAAAAAAATATGGATAACCCATGATCTTTCAAGTGAGAGCCATAGAAAATATTCTGACTGCAAGATGGATGTAGTTTAGGAATGACCAAGAATAAAACGTGTTTCCCTAATATTTCACCAGACGACTAATTAGCTTAAACATATATCATGCAACAACTCTCTTTTCCCTCTTGCTGGGGAATTGAAGAGATCATATGGTATTCTCGCCCTTGGCTGATAGACCACAACAGTCTTTTTATTCCTGTTTAGCACTGAAGTAGCTCAAAAACAGAAGCTGATTGTCAGAAATTGCAATTTATGGAAATTAATCAGAGTGCCAGAGCATGTTTCCTTTCTGAACTTCTGAACACTGCTCTTTGAAAAAATAAAAATTTAATTCTACAATTCTTCACTTAACTCAGTGGAGATTTTCAGTTTGATGAACTTTGTAGAGGTTATCCAATGGGCTGCTGTAGGATAAGGTGTTGAATAAAAGATTTGGAGTAATAAATACGATTTATTTTATTTGTTTTGATTTTAACCGATTCTCGCCTGCTTTGGTCCCCACATGTACCATATGCTGTGAGTGAGCAGATGGGGCACTTGAAACCTTCCACAACCCTGGAGGGTTTTACCGACCCATCTGATTGCCCTTCCAACAGCAAAAGGCGTTTGATGAAGTGCCAAATAAGAGACTTGTAAGCAAAATAGAAGCCCACAGTATTAAAGGGACAGTGGCAACATGGATACAGAACTGGCTGGGAGAGAGAAAGCAAAGAGTCGTAGTGAACGGTTTTTTTCCTGACTGGAGGGAAATGTAGTGTCGCTTAGGGAGAGTAATGGGACCACAGCTGTTTTTGATCTGTATAAATGACCTGGACTTGGGTGCAGGGAGTACAATTTCCAAATTTTTTCCAAAGGAAAAGTAGTAAACAGTGAGGAGGATAGTAGCAGACTGCAAGTGTGATGTGATGCATTTTTGGAAGAAGAATGAGGAGAGGCAATATAAGCTGATGGTACATTCTTAAAGGGGATGAAGGAACAGAGAGACCTGGGGGTTCACATAAGCAAATCTTTGAAGGTGGCAGGACAAGTAGATAAAGCTGTTACAAAACCATACGGGATACTAGACTTTATAAATAGAAGCATAGAATACAGAAGTCAGGAAGTTATAATGAACCTTTATAAAACACTGGTTAGGCCTCAGCTAGAGTACTGTGTTCAGTTCTGGGCACCACACTTTCGGAAGGATGTCAAGCCATTGCAGATGTTGCAAAGGAGATGTACCAGGATTGTACCAGGAATGAGGGACTTCAGTTATCAGGAGAGGCCAGAGAAGCTAGGATTATTCTCCTTGGAGCAGAGAAGGTTAAGAGGAGATTTAATAGTAGTTTTCAGGATTATGAGGAGATTCGATAGGGTGAACCAGGAGAAACTATTTCCACTAGCGGGTGGGTTGGTAACCTGAGGACACCGATTTAAAATAGTTGTTAAAAGAAACAAAGGGGAATCTTTTTCACAAAGAAAATTGTTCAGATCTGGCACGCATTGCCTGAAAGGGTGGTGGAAGCCGATTCAAAAACAGCTTTTAAGAGAGAAGTAGATAATTATTTGGGGAGGACAAGTTTGCAGGGGGATTGGGATTGAATTGGATAGCTCTTTTGAAAGAGTTGCCACAGACAAGATGGGCTGAATAGTCTCCTTCTGTGCTGTAAAATTGTATGATTCCATGATTGCAGAGCTTCAGGAGGTCACCACCTCCTGCCTCTCAGGGCCCGCCAATGAACACAGACACAAAGACCCAAAGAGAAACTCACACTCACAGACAGAGTGATACACACACTCACAGATGGAGAGAGACAATATACTCACAGACAAAGGGAAACACACACACTCAGAAACACAGAGAGACTCACGTATATAGAGAGTCACACACAGACACACTCATTCACAAACATACTCATACAGACAATTTCAGCAGCAGGGCCTCGGAGGTGGAGTGAAGCCCATTTCCCGCTCACGGTGCACCCCACATTTGCGTCCAGAGCTGCACTGCCTACAGTAATGATGGGTAAACAGCCAGCAGTGCCCAGGGACAAGGAAACAGGTTTTTAAGAAGACGGTGCCTTTTATAGTTGATTCCGTGGAAAAATTATGCCCTCACTTTTCTATTGGCCCATTGATTCTCCTGAGCACTGTTACTTGGCTGAATCGTATATTAGTGACAGGACGGCTGCTGGTAAAATTTGGTTGCAGGATTGCTTAACATGCAATAAGCATGGAAATCGGTTTAAAAAGTGACCCTGGACATTTTCTCTCTCTTACCCCTCTCAGCTCTGGTGAAAAAGGGGAGAAATAAAAATACAGACATTTTCAACACAGGAAGCCTTTCAGCCCATTGTGTCTGTCCCATTGTTATTTTTATTGATTCCACTCTCCAGCTCCTTCCCTCAAGAAGTTCAGGGTTGGATCATTGCAGTTCAGCTGCACAGGCCCCCAGATGTTTTAAGTATGAATTCAGATGTGCAAATAGGAATCTCTGAGCATCATTCTGTGTTTGATCCCAGTATCAGTGATAAACAGCATTGTTAATTGTGTTTCAGAGTTTCACAGTGCTGCTATTTTGCAGACATAATGCTGTTGAATGTACTGTTGTACATTTAATCTATGATTTTTTTTATTTTTATATACTTCTGCCATGTTTGTCCTGAGACACCAGGAAACCTGACTATGTTTGCCTCCCTGTATCCTGGATTTATATAAATATCAGTTTTTTTAAATAGAGCCTCCAGTTTCATAATCAATCTTCTGCTCAGTCAGAAGCTGTCCATTTCCAAACTTCTTCTTTAAGCTTAATTGTGAATGATAGGAATATAGTCCTATTGTCGTCCTGTTAGTAAAACCAGTTGTGATTAATCTGGTGTGCCAAACGTCACATGTAGACCAATGTCCCTTTTGAGCAGTGAAGCACTGAATCTCAGCACCAGTGATATCAGGGTAAAGTGAATGAAGCTCTATTTCTGTATTGGAGCAAACATAACGTTTGTTTTGTAAGAGATGGAACTGTGACTGAAGGGAAGAAATAGAGAGCAAACCAACGTCCATGGGTCTGGAAGCTCTGGATTCAAATCTTGTCTTGTCTAATCAGCTCTCCCGTGTTTTCAAGGTTCATATCATGGATACCATGAGTTAAGGCATAATAGGGGGCAGAGACTCTGTAGGGCTGAATTAGCTCTGAGGAAATATACAAGTTAAGTTTGTAAAGTGAGTCAGTTCTGTAGTGATTCATGGGACTGTTGATGGTTGACCAGCCTGTCTGGCTTATCAATCAGGTTTGAAGCTGTTTTTGTTCAGACTCAGTTTCCTGAGAAATATAGCCAACTTTTTATCTTGGATCTTAGTCTCCATTATTTGCAGTACACTGTACAGGTTAACACATTTTAAAGTTACTTTTAAATTAATGTAATTCTAACTTTTAAATAGCATGGTACTTTGTCATGGTGCAACTTTGAGATTGAATAAAAGTGATTATCAAATCTAGTTGCTCTTGTGAGAGCTAATCAAAGTAGCTTTTACTCTAGTTTAAAGATATGGCATAAAAAGAAGCAAGTCAACATATCACCAAGGTGGTTGTGCACCACATTTGGCAAGTTCTCAATTTCAGCTGGGACATCAGGGAGGCTGATAGTAGAGATGAAGCATTCCTGCAGCTTGAAGGAAGCAAAATAGGGGGAGTTCACAGTGGGCTGTTCTGACACAACTGCCTCTTGGCAGCTTGATATTTAGTGTCCAAGGAGAGCATGTTTTACCCTTTATAATATGTGGCATAGATGGGGCCAGAAATTGTGTGAAAGTAACTCATTTGCTGAGGAGTGTGATTCTTTGGGGTGGGGGGGTTTGGGGGTGATGTTTATGTATAGCTTTATTCCACTTTACACTTATCTTACTTAGGTGAAATTTCCAAATAGCAGATGGTCCTTAGATCATATTTACACCCCTCACAGGCCTCCCCATCCTCCTCTTCTTCTATCCAAGTTTCATTATTCTGTGACGCACCGGTTCCAGGTCTTTTTTCTTTGTATGCGTCACCGCGTCTGTCTGTCTGAGTCTCTCCTTTCCTGTGCACTAGCACATTCCCTTAAGCAGACGAGGTTAAAATTCATGTATTTTTTAAATGCAAAAGCAATCTTGAGAAATTGCGTGATTGGCTTTATGTGATTTTATTTGAAAAAAATATATATGAGTGGTTAAGATAATCTATAGGCAATTGGGGTGGACAACCTAAGGTTTACAAAACTTAAATATGCTCAAATTTTTCACTATTAAAAATATGACAAGCTATTCCCACATTTAAAGCTTGCTCTACTAACTGAATTCTTAGCTTTGTTTCAGTGTCAAATTCAACATTACCTGAGCAGCAAGTGTCATGCGCTTGGATGAATGTAAAAGAGCCGATGGAAACTCGATTACTGTAAAAACAATAAGTCTAAAACATTTTATTTGAAGACTAATTAGGATAAAATAATTACAAAATTAAAATGGAAGAGAATATATTTCTGCAGTGGTTGACACTAATCATTCCTTCTGAAGTGGAGCAGTCTGATGTTTACATTCGGTTGCTTTTACTGCAGGGGAGATTATTTTCAATTGTGTATAATAAATACAAATGATACGAGATACGAGCCTGAATTAAAATCCATACTTCGATAGGTTTTCTGATCCACTTCTGTTTAATCCAGTCTCTCTTGTTTGAAATACCTTGCAAGGAAAACAGACTGAGCAGCTGGAGTAGCAGACCCTGATGGATACACACTGAATTTTAGCCGACAGTGCTGTATTCATTACCTAATCCTAACACAAAGATCCTTGATTTCATTAAAGATAGTTTCAAATTGTTTCCTTAAACCCGATTTACTGAATAAATGTGCAGTGCATGTGGATCTCCTGCTTTTTAGTGTTTCAGTTTTGTTTTGGTGGTATCTTGGCTATCTTCAGACGTCGCTGTGCTTCCCAGGAATGAAAACTGGGGGAATGATCTTTGCTATATAGCCCTAATGCCCTAATACAAACTGTCAGTAATGTAACCCACCATCTCCTTTAAAAACAATGTAATGTTTGACATACCTCAAAATATAATCAGTTAAAGTTTCTGTGGTTCAGGAATGTATTTTAAATCTGGGTTATTGTGGAATTTTGAGCTGCTGTATTTATTATTTTAGGATCTAGATGTAAATGTTGGCAATCTATTAAAATGTCTTAAAAAGTGATTTCATCTGGAATGTATAAGTGTGGTGATTGTGTTAACATCTAAAGATTGATTTTTCTTTTGTTTACGGCATGCAACGTTGAATGCATAGGATAGAAAATTGCTCCAAGGAGCCCGTGTCCAAATAAAGCAGCTTACTTAACAGTGCATTGAAAGTACAGGTGCAAGTTTGGTTATAATTAGCCCATTTCAAGGCAGCCTAAGTTATATCAACGCAAGATAAATAACGTGTTCTTAATAACCAATAATTCCAAATATATGATCAATGCTGTTAATTAACTTTATAAATCTGCAGTTTGCTGTCTTGCTAATAAATCGAAATGATCTTCTTGAGTATTTCTTTCCTTCCAACTGAAGGACTCCGATTTGAGTTTTACATCACTAACAAAATATCTGGTACATCAAATATACGGCAATTTATCGTTAGCACTCTTGCCTCTGAGTCAGAAGGTTGTGGGTTGAAGCCCCACATCGGGACTTGAACTCACATATTTTTACTTGACACTCAAATGCAGTGTTGAGGGTGTGTTCCATTGTTGGAAGTGCCGTCCTTCAAATTGAGATATTAGACCGAGGTTCCGTCTGCCTGTTCGGGTGGATGTTTAAGATCCCATGATACTATTTGAGAAGAGAAGGGAAATTCTCCCACTGCCCTCGCCAACAATCTCCCAAATAAAAGGTGCTCATTCACTTCATGGTGTGACATTGGTGTTGTAAAATTGGCCACGTTCGTTAACAAATACTCATCCACTTCTCTTCACAGTAAATTCTGTGACGAGCTTTGGGACTGGAAGGCAATGCGAGGATTATTACTATTATGCAAGGAAACTCTTGAATGTATTAGTGTAAAAAACAGTTTATTGCTGGTAACAGTCTAGTTTTGCAGATTTTAAAACCTGCGTGAGCTATCTGCTGGATTTTATGTAATTTTTAAATGAGGAATTGAAAGAATTTATAAGCAAGAAATACCCACTTTTCCCACTTTTGTTGCTAGCTATAAGTGCTGTACTTTAGTTCCACATAGACTTCACAGAGAGTTCTTAAAATATATTTCTGTCTTAAGTTATAGATAAAATGCCTTAACATACAAATTGAACTATAATTTATCAGTGTTTTTAATGATGTGTTGTTTACGCACAATAACAATAAATTGTGCTGTGGTGAGATTTCCCCTTGTAACAGTCTGAATCGCACCGTCTTTAGGAGATGCAGAATGGTAATAAGCCGGATACCAACAACGAATGGTCTTTTTTTACATGATTTCATCAAAGACCAGTTTCTGTAAAACACTAGGTACGTGTCTTTTGCAGCTGGCCTATGCTGTAATCGTCTAAATAGTGTAATTTAAAATGAACACAAAAGGTTCACATTTCCAAATTTCTAAACATCATGCAGCAATGGGAAAAATTGTTCATGTCTCTCTTGATTTTGTTTTGCCCCCATTTTAAAATGCATTTTTCTTACTTCTCCTCCTGCCCCTCTCCCCGTACTCAGGTAGGAAACCTGTCCCCCATGTGCTGAGATGTCTCTGGAATGAGATCTTAATGGTGTGTGAAAGAGGTCTGGCTTGACTCTCCTTTCAGGCCTACGCTTTCAGGCCTCCGCTCAACAGCACCTCCCCAACAGCACAACTACAATCAGGAACTTGCCGTGTGCCATGACAGAGGATGTAAACACAAGCCTGCATCCTTTCTTTCTGTGGCACAGTAGGTTTGGGCAACAGCATGCTGCATTCCTTGCCAATCTGCTTACTGTAGATTTTGTACATGTGCACAATGCTTTGCATAGTTACTGTTTGTTATACGATGATTTGAAGATTTACAAACAAAAAATATCCTAGTTAGCTGAAGTCTTCATCTGCATTAGTGCAGGTTTTCAACCGTGACAAGTTCTTTTATAAAAGCTCTTGAAGGCCTTCATTTTCACTTATTATATTCAGTACTGGCGTCTAAACAAAATCATTGGAACTGTGAGTTTAAAAGATATTTGGAGCACAGTAAATTATTCACCTAGTTAATGTACAGTAAAGTTAAGGGTTGTTGGGAGTGGCAATGTATGTATTTTAAAATAGTCACAAGTATTAATTATTATAAATCAAAATTTAGTGTATTTCAACATTCATTGCACTTTCAGTAATAATTCTAGAGGTGATTGTTCCCCAAATCTTTAATGCATAATTTCATAGTATAGTTTAACTTTAAATTGTTTTAGTAAGAAAAGCATCCTTTTCCTCTATATTGTGTGATTATCCCTTTGTTTAAGCCCTTTTTAAAATTTATTTTGGACACAAACCTGATTAACAATTGAACAATTTCAAAGAGCTGAAGAGGATGTGGGTGTGGGGGTCCCCATTACAAGGATATTTTTCCCCCTGGTTTCCAATGTATCTGAATATTCAGTTTGCATGGAAGCCAGGTTTTCCATTTGGAGTAGCTAAGGGCATAAGTGTGATGGGGCTGCTCTGTTTTGTTATTAGAATATTAAAATAAACCCCCTGGTTGGTTCAGTAGAATTGAAATGTAAATGTACTCTGCTGTATGTCAGAGAATTTGAACTTAACTGTTTGTGGAGATAGCTCCACAAGCTCCAATATGTTTTTCCATTTTTATTAGTATTATTTTCTTCAGGAACAAATAATTCTATATGTTAATGAACAACTCATTTTCCTTTCCAGATCGATCAGCCTCTTATGGAACAAAAGACTCATACTAATGTACCTTGGATTGTGGAACCAGGGCAAGAATCGAAAAGGGTGATGAACACTAAATATGAGACCACAATATTCTAAGCATTATTTCTCCTCTTCTTTCTGTGCCTTTGCACTTTTTTGAGCAATCACTGCAAGCAGCACATTTTTTCTCCTCTGGTGATCTCTAACCCAGTCGAGAGGAAAACTGCACTCGCTGAGTGACCTTACACAGTTACTGTCATCACTGCATGAAGCTGTTCTTTTCCTTTTTCATTCCTCCCACTGTAGCAACAGGAATGACACTGACACACGGCAACTGTCTCTGGCGCATTATAAATCAGTCCATCAAAAGAACCTAAGCTGATTCAGTTTAGAGAATTTACTCTTGGCACTGGAGTTACACTTTTTTTCATCTTTGTTGAGGTCGTTTCAGCTTATGAAGAAATCAGCGGACTAATTCTGAAGATCTCTTCTGCCCATCTGAAAACCTGAATGCTGCTAAAAGCAGTTTTTATCCCTTTTTGACTAAGCAGTTTTTATCCCTTTTCGACTAACACTTTTTAACAAAAAAGCTGTGATTTATCTATTGCAGCCTTGGGATAATGATGGGAATGACTGAGCTAATATCTTTCAATAACTGCTTCAGTTTTGAAATGACTGCTCTGAGTTGCTGACTGCTTTAGGCAATATTAACTATTGTTTTACTGGGAACGTCACAACACATGCACATTTACTCAGAGCAATTCCTTCAGAGATTCTGGCCCTCATTTTAAAACTGATCTGCACTGAAAATAAAGTCTTTTTTTCTCCTTTAGCTAAGTGGTTACTGCAGATGTAGTTATTTATTTTCACATAAACAGTAGTCATTTAACATCTCGTTCCTAAAATGTGAAAGAATTTAAAAAAAGTTTGGAAAATAGACAAAAAAACTGAAGAGTTTTGCACATATGAACCATAGTTGCCATTTTTCGGTCTTATTTCCACACAGTGTTTATAGATTGCCAATTTCATAATGTACATCCGCTTGTGTAAAAGTGAGGGGCAAAAATAGTAAATTCTTTTTTAAAAGTGAAACTTCTCTGCAGCGAAAACCCCCCACAGCCATTCTAATGTAGCCAATTACTGTGTTGGTGAAGTCCCTCATGGATTGGAGAAGTATTAAATGTGTTGCAAACCAGCAGCATCGCACTGCAGGTGAAAACAGACTGTATTCAAGCAGTGCACTGGATACCTCAACAATCTAACAGTGCTAGATGCAGAAGGTAGATGAGAAGTGTTGGCTATCTTAGAATACATTAACTGCACATGTAATTGTCAAATTTAAATGAAACTTGGCACAATGAACACATTCTGTTCTGTAGTATAAGAAGAGTTATGTAATGATTCTCTATGTAGTATCTTTCATTTCAGACATATACTAAGACCTGATTTATTTCAAACCAATGCACACAACTTTTCTGAACTAAACCCGTAAAACCACAATCATCCGATTTACTACCTGGAGCAACTAAGCTTGAAACATGAGAATGATTTTCTCACTTTGTTTGCAAAAAAAGATGTAGTGACATAATATCCTACATTATCTTTTAAAACCACATTGAGGTAGAGTTTAACTGTGGTATGCACAGACAGCATTACAAAGGATGGTGATGATTATAGTTGCATTTCACCATTCCATTTAAGCAAAATCTTATTGTGAATCAATTTAATGTTTATTTTAGAATCCTTATTGAACTTGTGTAATAATGGTCTTAAGTTGTTTCAATGTTACATTATTTTTATATGATATAGAAACTAAGCTGGGCTTAATGATACTGGTCACCCAAATATAAAATAAGGGATGATTATTAGAGCTTGGGTTGTAATTGATAATCAAATGTATATTGTATGGTTGGACTGAATTTTAGTTCAATTCAGTGTTAATCTTTTAATACAGTATTATAGTACTTGAACAATGCAGTTTCCTTGTATATATTTTGCCTATTCACAGTTAATAAATGTATGTAGTAATTTGGCAGTTTTAAAAAAAAACACTGTACACATGGTACTAAAATGAAAATGTATGGGGATAAAATAGTGGACTTCGCTGCAGTTGATACTGTACATATGCTTGGGATTCCAGTTACAAATTTTGTAATTTTTGCCATTATTTATATCCTGCAAAAGCACATTAAATAAACAGGATGTATAAAAATTAAGCGCTTTATACATTAGTTTTACTGTCAAATTTTCTTGCAAGATTATCCCCTCATAATGATTCATAGCAGAGTTGTGAAGCAACCTGTTTCTGAATTGATCTTTAGAACCTTTAACCCATTCCAGTAACAGTATGAAATCATAATAGCTTATTTCGAGCGATATATCTTGTGAATTATGGCTGGACCTTGTGAATTATTCACCATTGCATTATATAATTACATAGCTTTAGAAGTTTAAAAATCAATCATCTGTTGTAAGAGAACAAGTTCATTCCAACTTGTGGGAAAATGTTAACTCTTTTGGGAGCATAGTGCCTTGACAAAGGCTCTATCGCTGTCAGCGCAGCCCTCATTGATTCTGCAAGTCTTTGGTAAATAGTTGTCTAGTGATTCCCAGAAGACAATTTTAACAAATGTTTTCCCTGGAAAAAATAAGACAGTGTGAAATCTAAACTTGAGCGTTCCCATCTTCTGAGGTCCAACACAGTTATTTACACCAGTTCAAACAGCAATTTAAAACATAAGATAATCAAAATTTTATCATCTTACATTAAAGTGATTAAAACTCTGTTTACAGAACAAGTATACTGCTTGGGTAAATTGGATGGCACATTAAGTGAAAAATATTCTGTAAACCCTAGAATGGATAAATATGGAATGTTACATCTTCTTAAAATAGTTATAAAGATGCAAGTTCAGAAATGCAGATTCTAAATCTCATTTTTTTGAAGAAATTGGACTTTTTGCCCCCTACATATTCTACGCAGACAAGAATGGAATGTAGATGCTTATCAGTTTTTATTACTCCTATGCTAATGTTATTTTGCCTATTCAAGGTTAATAAATGTATGTATTAGCCTGAACTAGCAGGCTATACATTTAGTGATTGCCATAAGTAGACACTCAAGTATGTGTCATTTGACAAACTATCTAAATGCTTTTCCTTATGGACAGGATGGTCAAGTGTTGAATGAATAACTAGCATTGAGATATCAGTTGCAACTACTCTTTTATTCATTTGATTGTATGCAAGAGAAAAGTGCTTTATTCATGCATATCTGATGAATAAGTAGAATCCTGACTTGTATTCTGCTGATAAAGTATAATTTGCATAATAAGAGCATTGAATATGTAAATTATTTGCCCATAAGAATTCAAAAAAGAAAATGTCAGCACTATTCAAAACATCAGCATGAAGGAACTAAAGTATTCCTTTCGTCAAAAATGTTATTCAAAATTTAGATCTCACATATGTACACACACATATATTGCAAAGACCCTTTAATGCAATTTTACCTTTCTCAACAATTGTTCAATCTTTTTCATCAAACGTAGCAATTACATGAATGAAAAAGTGGATTATTCCAGATGGAACACAATGCAGGTAATGTTAGGATAAATATTCTGAATTTTTAAAATATTTATTCTCAAGTAAAGCGTCCATAACAAACATCAAAAGAGTAAAACACTGCAGGTTTGTTATTTACAACAGATTCCTCAATGCAATTGCTTATGGCATCTTTTTGATGTTTAACTACAACAATAACTAAAATTTATCATCACACTTTACATAGAATAATGTTTTTGAGTGCTTCACAAGGCTGGGATTGAACGCTGAGCAAAAGGAAAGGAGTTGCCAACTAAGGGTATGTGAAGAGACAAGACTTCACACTGAGATGGTGTGAAACAGCAGGAGTTACTCCAGAGGTTAAAGGAGTAGCTCCTGAGCAGTTTGCCACTAATGATGACCTAAGCTTTATACTTTAATAAATACTGTATTGCGGACCACAAAATGCAAATTCCTAAACTAGCTATTTAAGGGCTGGATACTCATTCCATGTCTTTAAGTCAGGGATCAAAAGGGAACACACCTTTCTGCATCTGTAAAGCTAAATGGTAGTTAAAGGCATTAAATGTATTTACCTTGAGATCAACCAATAACAGGAAACAAAGAACCTGGGAATCAAAAACATCCATTCAGGTAAAAGATCAATAATGATCTTTGCATTTGATATAGTTCCTTTCATGCCAGAAGAACAACTCAAAGTGCTTCACAGATTTTACTGTAAAACATTGTTGGGTTCTTTCTACCATAATTGGATACTCGCCATTAACCAATAAAGGTCTGAACGCAGAGTTGTACAATCAAGATAGTTTATTCGACAATGTAACAGAAATATAAGCAGTCTTGCTTGATGACCAGCACTCGGCTCAGCAACCTGTAGTTCTTACTCTGTGGAGCTCAACTTTCCTTTTGTGTGGCTGTTGTATTTATACCCAGCTAGTTGGTGTATTCGTGATCTGCTCGTGATGGTACTTTTCCACTAGCCTATGTGCCCTTGTGTATGTCCCTCTTGCTTGCTGAGACTACTTTTCTTCCTTGTTCCTTTGCTCACCCTCCCTGTTCTTCCTTAATCAGTATGTTCTCATAACCTTGCACTCCCGTGATCTCGAGTCAGGTGCCCTACTCACAGGCATGTGAGCCATCTATTCTGTTAACCTTTTCTTATACTAACAGTCGCCATCTTGAGAGTGAGAAAATAAGATTTTCAATCTCTCACTTTATGATTTATTACGCTAGCTAACTAGACAGATTGCACCTGTGTAGCCCTTAATAGGAGCGCAAATAACATAAAGACACAATCATTGTGAATAAAATTATGGCTTCGGTAATCACAAAAGCATAAGACATGAGTAATACAAGTTCAGTGCAATTAATTAATCAGATTGATACAGCGGCTGTGATTAGGAATCGGCTTGTTAATGTTGAATGTAGAATATCTCTTCTTAAGATCGGTTAGACTTTTCTTCGTTCCCAAACTTAGACCTTTTTAGTCACGTCCGCCAAGTCGGCAGTGAGACCTTCAACAGCTTGTTTTTGCCATTCATTGTATGGTGAAAAACATATCCTTCAAGGTCGGTATACTCCTTTTGTTCTTGGCAACCTTTATGTACTGATGTTACCAATGTCCTTGAGAGTCCATAGAATCAGTTCTATTTCAGCCAAACAAGTCATGAGTCTTAGCGATATCAGTTTTGGTCACCTTAAGACAAACCAGGATTCTGGGATTGCAAAATGTCCAGTCCCCAACTCGAGTGGGTCAAGCTGACAGCACAGCCATCACCATCAGAATCTTCACGATTCCCTTTTACCTCAACCACCACATCAATCATTTCAGCTAATATTAGCACCTGTAAATACAGCACATTATTATCAATAATATCATGATTAACAAATAGTATGGCCCCAGAAATTTTAAATATTATTTCAGTGGATGTTCTCTCTATCCTTGCCCACTGGCTTCGAGCATTACTGAAATACTGGAATAGTCAAAGTAAATGTTACATAAAATAAATCAGAACAATGATTCTTAATGCTATCACTTCTCCTTCTTGAACTGTCACAGTGTTTACCTATCGACCCCGTCACCGCACGCTCTACCACACCCAACGCATACAAAACCCGCACAGTTGCCAATGTAGACCCTGTCCTGTGCAGGTATTAGCTGCTGTTGTGAAGCAGATGATTGATTGGGTTGCACTTGTCCACTCATCTCCCCCCTCCCCAGACGGTCAAGCTGAAATTGAACATGAAGACCGGCATTGTGGGTGGGAGGGTAAGCAAAGTATAAGTCGTCCCAGAAGAAGTCACTGGAAGGAAAGTGACCTCCAGAGGGTGTAACCAGCCATTGTCAGTTTCTGTAGGAACTAAATCACAAAGTGAAATCTCCCGTTTCTTTAAACACATTAGGTGGTTAATATGATTGCAGTAAAGTGAAGTGGGAACAGAAATTTGATCTATTTGTGCTACTGCCTCAAAATACTTGCACTACTAGCTTTACCAGGGATTCAATTGTAGCTTGGACATGATCAATAGCTGCAAAAAGAGTTTCACTTTATGTGGAAACCAAAGGGTTAACACTCTCTGAGCAGCCTTTGCTGATCAGCATGAAGCAGTGAGTGTTTGTTTGTTTACACAAACCAGAGTGCGAGCAGTCAGTGAATTTAAACTGCTCAGTCAGTGGCTATAGTCAGTGATTTTTAAAGTTGCTCTGCTGTATAAATTTCTTTTCTCTTATTTTTTTTCAATGAACTCATCCTCTCTTAACTTTCGTTAATCTCTTTATTTGAGAGAATAGCATTTTGACCTTTCCTGACTCCTCACAAGTAACAAGCAGACTAAACTATTTCAGGGCTTTCAGATTAACCAATAAGTCATCTCCCTGTTTGATCTAGAGGCATATTGGTGAGACACAAGGATCTATACATTGCTCAATCAGTTGCCTTTAACTCCTTCTGTAATCTTTCTAATTCAGAAGTAACCATTTGTCCCAATCTTTCTTCCAAATTTGACTCTACTACCTTTTTTAGTTTCACCTTTACAATCCTTCGGTATTGGTGGTTTTGTCATTAATCCCTTTATCTTTGCCCCTTTTACCTTCAGAATTAATTTGTCCTGTTTTATCTTTTAAGCCTTGCAGTGAACCCTTGTTCTGCACTTTTTTATTTTTTTCCTCCACAAAGCTGCCACTTGTGCTTTAAGTCTGTCCACTTCTTCATCTTTCTCACGTTTAATCTATCAATTTCTTTTCTTGCTTCATTTCGTTCTGAGTTAAACTTCTCAGATTCATGTTTAGCTCGTCCTAACATCTCTCTTTCACATTCACACACTGTATATGTGACACAGGATAACCCTGTCTAGATTCCCTGGCCATAGCTGCCTGTGTTTGAATCACCTGCTAAGTGCTGGAGGAGGCCCTCCTCCTGGACAATGTGAAGAGGAGGTGACGATGGCCCCTGGCTGCTCTGAGTACCTGTCCTCCGACCCGGTCGAGAGAGAGAGTCCCGAGACTAATGCCCATTGCCCCCACACTGATAGCATTTATCCTGGTTAGCCTTGTCTTGCGCCCACGTTCGGGCCCCTTCCCCCTTTACTGCGTCCACGACCATTCTCGCGACTTTGATAATCTTGGCAAACTTATCCTCTTTTTGTTCATTCTGTCTACTGTGTTTCCGGAATTCTTCCCTTCGTTTGTTAGCTTTGTTAATAAAAGCCTGACTCAACGCATCCTTTCCTTTTCCAACCATTTCCTATTTTAATACTAATCTTTTATCCACACAATTTTCACAATGCAAACACAAGTTCAATTTTACAAAAGGCCTCAAACCCTTTTACAACTGGCCTTAAACCACACAATTAGCACAATTTTTCAACAAAACAAATTTTAACCCCGGTGGCCTCAAACCACACAATTTTCACAAAAGGCCTCAAACCTTTTAACCGGTTAATCCGGGTGGCCTCAAACCACCACAATCCGTGCTTCTCTGGTTTGTTCAAATAACCTGTCCGAACCCACACGTCTGTTTGTTCAGTTAGCAAGGATCCTGCCGACTACGCCAAATTGTTGAATTCCTTCTACTGTAATTGGATCCTCGCCATTAACCAATAAAGGTCTGAACACAGAGTTGTACAATCAAGACAGTTTATTCAACAATCTTAACAGAAATATACTACCAGATAAGCAGTCTTGCCTGATGACCAGCACTCAGCTCAGCGACCTGTAGTTCTTACTCTGTGGAGCTCAACTTTCCTTTTGTGTGTCTGTTATATTTATGCCCAGCTAGTTGGTGTATTCGTGATCTATTCGTGATGGTAGCCTATGTGTCCTTGTGTATGTCCCTCTTGCTTGCTGAGACTACGTTTCCTCCTTGTTCCTTTGCTCCCTGTTCTTCCTTAATCAGTATGTTCTCATAACCTTGCATTCCCGTAGTCTCTAGTCAGGCGCCCTACTCACAGGCCACTGCGTATGAGCCATCTATTCTGATAACCTTTTCTTATACTAACAACGTAGAACCATGAAACTTGCAGGCAAATGTGGCAGCCAATTTTACGTAAAGCATTGTCCCATAAATAGACAAAATGAATGACCAAATTTTATTTGGGTGATTGTTGGTCTGAGCACCGAGAGAAATTCCCTTCTCTATTTGAGTAGTGTCATGGGATCTTTAACATCCACCTCAACAGGCAGAAAGGACCTCCCTCAGTTTTAACATATCCACAGGAAAGAATCTCCACTCCAGCAGCATAGCCCCCCCACACTGCATTGGAGTGTCAGCCTGAACTCAATTCAAAGTCCTAAATGGGGCTTCAACCGACAGCCTACTGACTCAGAAGCAAGAGCCGTACCAACTGATCCAGCAAAGCATAACTAATAAACAGACCATGCAGCTGTTTGCAATCAATTAATTGATTCAGTTAAGGTTAAATGATTTTAACCGGTCTCTATCCTCCCAATGAAACTAAAACCCTTATGAATGTATACATTAAAGATTCAAAGTAGTATGAATAAAATGGGTACTTTTCTCTTCAGGCTAGAAGAAAGGTGAAACAAGGCATGAGGTAACCTGCCAAGTTATTTGAGGCAGAAGACTTGACAACGACTTTGAGGCCAGTGCCCACTGATTGGAGGGAGCGGGTAGGCTGGTAAGGTTTTAGTAGGTCGCAGAGGTAGGGAGGAGCAAGACAATGGCGGGCTTTAAAGGGAGGACAAGGATCTGAAACTTGATCCTCTGGGGGATAGGGAGTCAGTGAAGCCGTGACGAGAATGGGGTGATCGGCTACGGAGCTTAATAATAATACTTGCATTTGATATAGCGCCTTATCACGTCATTTGGACATCTCAAAGCGCTTCACAGGATATAATGTAAAGTGGATTGACTCTTTGTGGGCGAAACGCGGCAATGTCCTACAAATAGTCGTAGATTGAATGACTAAATTATCTTTTTAGTGGGATTATTACACCTGGAAAGTAATCCGTCAATCGACTAACAACCACATTCCTACTTATTGCTAGGAAGTGTGTGGAGTAAGGAAAGTTGCCTAATGCAAAAAAATTGCATTATAAACCTTATGCTTACCTTCATCCTCCTGAGCCTTCCAGTCAATGGGGATCTTCCCCACACTCTCCAGTAACTCATTGGTTCAGGAGACCTGTCTGCAGCCCAGGAAACCTGTGCGGAGAGGTGGGGAGGAGTCTGGAACACATGGCGTCACTTCCGGTTGATGGAGCCGCCCTTCCTCTGCGCATAGGCTCCTCACAGCATGAAAACCGGTCCTTGAGGCTTTTGGTTCAGACCGGTCCACCACCTGCTAATCGCGCTCATTGTGCTGCCTCGGATCATCAGCACTGCATTCAACAGCAACAGGACTTTGCTTAGCCCATCCAGTCAGATTGCCATGTCCTGGATGTTCAAAGCCTTCAATGTCAGATTGCAGCTTCTTGTACACTAATGCAGGAGAAGACATGAGCTGTAGAGTTTTGAATAATCTGCAGCTTGTGGAGGGAAGAATTGAGAAGTCAGTCAAGTAGGTGGTTAGCATAGTCAAACCTGGACATAAAGAAAGCATGGATGAGGATCTCAGCAGTCTGAGAAGAGAAGTAGTGGTGGAAGCAGGCAATATTGCAGAGGTGGGGGAAGGCAGAAAGGGTCATCGCATGATCTGTGGTTTAAAATTCATTTGAGGATTGAAAAGCTAAGTTTCTGTCCTGGCTCAGTGAGGTGCAGAGAGCATGCATGATTAGAGATGCAGTCAGCGTCTGAGGCGAGGAGACACTGACGGGAACCAAGCAGGAAAACCACGGGCTTGTTGACAATCAGATGGAGAAGGTTAGCTCTCATCTAGGACTTGATATCAGGACAGCAGTGATCCTGGATCATGGTGCTTGCAGAGAGATAAAGTTGGATATCATCCGTATACATGTTTGCAGATGATAATAATAATCCTTGCATTTGATGTAGAGCTTTTCACGTCTTCTAGATGTCTCAAAGCGCTTCACAGAATATGCTGTAAAATGGATTGACTGTATATTTGTGGGCAAAACGTGGCAGCCAATTGCACACAGCATTGTCCCGCAGTCATGGATTGAAAATGAACAATTTTATTACTGTTTTGTTTTTTGGAGGGATTATTATTAGGTATCTGGAGTAAGGAAACTTGCCCAAGATTTCGCCCTGTGAACCCAGGTGTCATGCTTGCAAGGCGAGTGCTCTAACCACTGAGCTACAGAGCTCCACAAAGTTCCATCCATTGAACACCTCCAGTTAATACGGTTTGCTCCATGCAACAGAAATATCCTTTTCCTCAGCTTTGCAGTCCTTCATGGTACTCTGCTGGTTGCTTTCCTCAAAGCTAATTAACCAGTGACAATGTCTGAAGGAAGCGTGCAGATATATGAAAACTCCTCCATACTGTTAAAACAAACAATTGTGTGCACAATTGGCTGCCGCATTTTGCCCATAAATATACAGTCAATTCACTTCACAGCATATTCTGAAAGATGTGAAAAGCACTATATCAAAATGCAAGGATTATTATTATTAAAATGCAGCTTGCTTTGTGGGTCCGTATAATTGGCAGGAAGTTCTGAAATATCCAAATACTTTTTGGCTGGTTTAAAGGATGGTGGAGCATCAATGCTGCAAAGATCATTCAGTTTTCATGGTAATGTCCTCTCTGCTTCAGATTTTTCCAAACCCGGCTTTTCTTCCCAACACTCGCTCCACCGATGCCAGAACGAATAAAGTTTGGATCCTTAAATACCGGAGGTTTTGCAGCTGGCTCTCCATGTCCTGGGCTGGAATCTGTAATTAAAGTTTAACTTTCACCAATAGTATCCAATACTCCAATCTGTCTTGAGTTTCTTTTTCTTGGCGGTGCTGCTTGCCGGGACTGGCCGATATCACTGAGTGGGAGTGTGTAAATATTAAAGAGGAGGGAGCTCAACAGAGTGGGGAGGGAACTGAGTGACTTGGAATAGAATGAGAATTCTGTTAAGAAATTTGGTGGGAATGGGAATTCTTGAGCCAGCGAGAACGAGAGAGCAAGAGAGAAATCTTTTAGCAAAAGAGTGGGAATTGTTTCTTGAGCAAGAGAGAACTTTTCAAGCAAACAGGTCAAATTGGCAGTTAGTTAGTCATAAGCCAGGTGTTAGGGATTAGTTAATTAGTAATTAGTTGCTGACTAGTTGAAACTGGTTGGGTCAGAGGCCTACATAAAGGGGAGAATTGCGAGAGCCTCACTCAAAGAGAGAGCTCAGCAGAGTAAGGATGGAATTGAGTGAGAATTCTGTTAAGGAATTTGGTGCAGAGTGGAAAAGAAGTGCATAATTATAAAATATATGAAACTTATATTAAAATAATACAAAGCATGTTTGGGAATATGGCAGGGAAGCTGAGACTGGTTGCAAACACAATGTGGCAACTCCAGGATGTCCTGGACAAACATGCATGGAGGAAGTGCCTCTGGCTGCTCGAGCTTGACCTCAGGGTTTTGGAGCTTGAGAGAGGTCATGTAGCATACAGGAGGCTGAAGAGTTCATCAATTGAATGTTTCAGGAGGTGGTCACCCCACAGCCACAGAGGGTTCAGAAGGAGAGTGAGTGGTTGACCACCTGGCATGTTAGGAAGAAGGCAGTCCAGAAATCCCCTGAGAGTGTGGCACTCACAAACCGGTTTTCTGTACTGAATACCGGTGAGGGGAGTGAAAAGCAAATGGATGCACAAGAGGACATAGTGTCAATATAATTGTCATTGCCAATGGTGAAAGGAGGGGTTTCTGCAAACAAAGACTTGACTCTCACATGGTATGTTGCCTCCCCGGTGCCAGGGTTGAAGACATGGAACAGGTGCAAAACATTTTACAGGAGGATGGGGAACATCCAGAAGTCGTGGTCCATGTTGGGATCCATGATGTAGGGGAAAAAAGGGTTGAGATCCTACAAGAAGAGCATCAGAAGCTAGGGAAAAAGCTAAAGAGTAGGACCTCAAAGGTGGTGATCTCTGGATTACTCCCAGTACCTCGTGCAGGTGAGTATTAAAATAGCAGGATCAAACACATGCATAGCATAGCTGGATAAATGGTACAGAAAGGAGGGACTCAGGTTTCTGGATCATTGGGACCAGTTCTGGGGCAGGTAGGAAGCTGCATGGGTTACACCTGAACAAGACTAGGAACAATGTCCTCATAGGGAGGTTAACTAGTGCTGTAGGGAATGGTTTAAACTAATTTCGAGGGGAAAAAGGAATCAGGACGTAGCATCAGAGAGGAGAAACAAATTACATAGAGGACTGGGAGAGACGAATAGCAATGTATTAAGGAGTAATCCAGTAAAAAGGAGGGATTACACAGGAGAGCAGAGGTCTTGGGAAACAGCTTTGTAAATGCACGGAGTGTGACAAATAAGGTTGGTGAGCTGCAGGCTTAAGTTGCCACATGGGGTTATGATGTAGTGGCAATAACGGAGACCTGGCTCAAACAAGGGCAGGAATGGGAGCTGAATATTCCTGGCTACAGTGTATACAGAAGGAAAGGAAAAAAAGGATGGGGTGGCAGTATTGATTAAGGACACAATTATGGCCGTGGAAAAGGACAGTCCAAGAGGGTTCAAAAATAGAATCTATTTGGTTAGAGTTACGGAGCAGAAAAGGAGCTGTTACTTTGTTATGTATATATTATAGACCACCAAATAGTGGGAAGGAGATAGATGAGCAAATCTGCAAGCCGCTTTCAGAAGGATGCAAAACAAAGAGTACTAATAATGGGGGACTTCAATTATCCTAACATAGACTGGCAAAATAACAGTGTAAAGGGCAAGGAGGGGGAAGGATTCCTGAAATGTGTGTAGGGTAATTTTCTGGATCAGTATGTTTCCAGCCCAATGAGTAAGGAAGCAGTGCTGGATCTAGTTCTGGGGAATGAAATGAGGCAAGTGTAACAGGTTTCAGTAGAAGAGCATCTGGACAACAGTGATCACAACATCATTGGGTTTAGAGTACAAGGTTTAGGACAAGGAGCAATCAAAGGTGAAGATACTCAACTGCAAGAGAGCTAATTTCCAGTGAATGAAAAAGGGAATTAGCCAAGGTGGACTGCAAAGAAAGATTGGCAGCTAAAACACCTAACGAGCAATGGGAACCCTTCAAGGAGGAGATAGTTCGGGATGGAACAAATACATTCCCACAAAGGAGAAAGGTAGGGCATCCAAACCTCCCTGGATGAATAAGGAAATTGGGATTGAAATAAAACAGAAAAGAAGGCTTATGATAAATGTCAGATCCAAAATACAGAAGATAATCAAATAGAAAATAAAAAGTACAAAAGGGAACTTAAAAAGGAAATAAGAGGGGCAAAGAGAATATATGAGAAAAGATTAGTGGATAACTTAAAAACATGCTTGTATCTGGATGCACACATCAGTAAAGCTGGTCCAAAAGTTGTGGCCACAGTCTGTTAAAGTTGTAGTTTTGGTGCAGTAAGTTAGTATGCAATCCAATTGGAGCATCCGCTCGTCCATCTATCTCTCATTTGACCACGCTACCTAGTCATGGGTGCAATCGGCGAAACAGAACCACTCCTCATACCAACTTCCTGGGCTTCCTTACAGCCATACACATTGACTAACCAACAGCTAAGCCTTATCACTGGACTGTGGATACTAAATATCTATGATTCTGTTTCCCAAACAATGCAAAAAGGAAATGCTGTGTTGATCTTTTGCAATCAGCTAAAGTATAATAATGTTGTGCTATCACTTCTAAAGACGGATCTATCAGTAAATGAGGCTGTGCTACAAACATAGCACATCTACCATTTAAAAATAGTGTGGAACCAGTTCCATCAAACCATGAGAGGATACTGTGTATTTCTTGACACTTGTGGATTATTGTGGATTTCTTGACAATTATGTTGCTAATAAGTAAAGTTGTTCTCTCATATCATTCATTGATTGTGAGAAATGAAAATATTTTATAAATCAAACAATTCATGCAGCAACAAGCAATTGTAACTTACATCCCAGGTTATTCTAACTAAGCAAGGCAGTGCAAAATTCTTATTCTTATTTACATCAGTTGATTAAGTTATAATTTCCAGCTTCCCCCTCCCCATTTTGTAATTCTTCCCTCTTGTATCACATCCATGCTGTGCAACATTTGTCATCCGAACAGAATGGCAAAAGACTAATTCCAGCATTCTGCTGATATTGCCTTGCAGTCAGACACCAGAAGAAGCGCAGGACTGGTACAGGTTGGCATGCGGTCCCGTTTACCCTGTGTATCTCAGTTTGCCGTGTGAGGATTTGTGACCTTGAACAAGCAATCGGCCTTCCCATTGTAAATTGGTAGTACAGCCAGACTACATGCATTTTAAAACTTTTAAGTGCTTTAAGTTTTCAAATGTTATGGAAATTGCTGACTTAGCAATCAATGAGGATACTGTACTTCCCATTGGTTCTTAATAAAGAATTGTACTGACAGAAATCTGGAATCAAAAAGAGTCAGCTCCAATTTTCAAATTTTGTTGGCTGCAACTTAAAAGAAAATACATGTTACAAAATATTTGAGCCAAAGACAGATTATGTAAAAATGTTAAATTCACTTTCCAAGCCAGCGCTACAGCACAATGGTACTTACAATGAAGCAGATGTTTTTTGGGGTGTTAGTTGCCATCATTTTACAGTGTCAACATTTTCATTGGTTTACTGCATTCCATGAGAGTCCATGGTTGCAAAATTTGATCTTGGTGAAGATAGTGCATCTGTCAAAACAGTCACGTAGTAAACACATGGCAATTAAAGCCCTGACTGCATCATATTGTAAAGATAACACAATTTTTAAACACGAGTTCCATAATAATTATGCCTGGAATTTT